TTGTCATAGAGTCGATGCAATGCAATAATCTACCAGTCGACCAAAATAGCAGAGGTTAGTGTGCTGATATACCAAATCATCTGTTTGTAGAGTTTCGCTTTCCGATTGTTGATATCGTCCAATCACAATATAATGTATTATCGATGAGCACTTCCAACCAGTATTCAACAAGCATTCTGAACTATACAGAACAAGACCGCAATTTTCGTGTGCGATCAGCAATGTAACACACCACATCATAATAAAAGGACCATCTATATTCACGCCGACTAACTACTCAAAAGACATAACTAACCAAAAATGAATTCTATCACATGGTCAGTTTAAGAATGAGCCAGTCATCAAGTAACTCATGGGCATCTCTTCTGCATATGGTCTGAAAAGAATGGTAACAGCTGAGGTCTTAATAGCTATTATCAGTGACGTCACACCAAAAGCTACGTTCAGTCTTTATCTGTTTTCTCACCTTCACGATCTAACGGCTGCTTCGAAAAGTGCGAACGTGTTTTCAAAAGCTCAACTTAGTCGAGGCATACAACAAAACCCTTATGGCTACAAAATACGCTCCTAAAACGGCTGTCATGAATTTTTGGGTAAGCCTGCTGTGGCACTGGACCCTAATCACACAATCCTCAAAGCCGAACACGAAACAATTGGGAAAACAGATATTCAACGTTTAACACGGAGAAAAACCTAACACTGGAGGAGGCGGGAAGAATGAACTGAAACAAATTGGAATCGATCAGACGGCATGGGACGGCTTTGCAGGCGTGGTCTCTGTTGAATGTTACATTATATCCTTTCGGCAATGAACTCATAGCCCTTTATAGTGCTCTACGGCACTTTCAACACTTCATGGAAGGTCGAGAATTTACTCAACACATCGATCACAAACCTCTTAAGTTCTCCTTAATCTCATTTTCAGACACGTTCTCTCGTCAAGAGTCTCGACAACTTGACTACATTTCGGATTTTACTCCAGATGCACAACACGTTTTTGGGGAAATCAATGTAGTTGCAGACACATGTCCCGAATAACTTGCTGTGATAATTATAAGTATTTGTAAAGTGTGATCGATAGACGAACCCACCAATAATAAAGGGAAACACCCACTACCACATTAACTCCTTTTGACCTTGTACGACTGTATCTGTTTATTAACCAGTCACAGTTTGATGTTGATTGTAAAGCAATATTTGCTTGTTGACTCATTTTTCCTATTCCCTGGCTACTGTTCGGTATGTTATTTGTCTCTGCTTTTCCCTGTATTAGTAGACCGTACTGTTTGTTTGTACACTAACGATGTTAATTCATGTTTTAGAAACAGATAAAGTTTATCAAGCCAAATTGCTTACTTGTTCTGACTTTGGCCAAACCAAGATTTAGTATTCGACGGTCTAGAGAATAGCTCAGAATTAAACCTGTAGAAAATTGCTTCCTACAGTATTCGAATTATTATATGAACCAGGAATCCCTGAAAAAAACGCAATTTATGTCCGATAGAACTAGGTGAGCACAAACGAACGTATTATATTTGGAATTCAAAATCAGGCGCACATCGAGTACAAGAGAATTATCAGTTCACACAGACATCACACTTCTTTGAACAATCCGCTAGGGTCCGACCTTCGTAAAGTCGCCCAGCTTTCAAAATGGGTACCGTAACCCATTACGAGTTATCTTCAACAACTTTGAAATCACAAATCGAAAATATGGTAAAATGTGTGGAAATTTCACTACGTGACACATCCACAGGTGGTGATCTTTCATTCGTATCGATAAAATTCCTTGATACGCTGCAACTATCAAGCTCATTGCAGGACGATTCCGCTGGTCTGGTGTGAAAAAACGAGTGAGAGACTGGGCACACCCCCGTTCAAACTGATAGAAATCCAAGTCAAAAAGGCAAATGTTCTTTAAGTTATTCTATAACTTCAGACGCTTACTTCAGTCATGTTTGTCTTGATCAGGTAGTATCTTCATCAGAATAAAATATCTACGCCTGTCAAGTAGTGCTGAAGGATTCATACGAATAACGGCCAGCCACTCACCACTCACAATCCAATGGTTTGATTGAATGTTTTCACCCATGGTTGAAACCTTCACATTCAGCTGAAAATGTGTCACGATGGATTGGTACTCATCCAACCGAGTTCCTCGAAATTCGGCCGTCGGTGTAAGCTGATTCTGGACGCGCTGTAAGCACACACATGAATTACACAACACTTTAACCTCCAGGAGATTTCGCAGATCCTTCATCTTCTTTAGTGCATGTGCATCAAAAAGTCTACACGAAACATCCCACAAAAGTGAACATTTTGGAAAAACGTGCACCTACCCGAGCATCATCAACGGGTCTTAGTTCAGACCGTCCTACTACTTAGTATTCGCGTTTTGTAGATGGTGCTGCGTCACGCCGACAGCTTAAGTTGACCCTGAACACTACACTGTCAATAATAACGGAACTGAAGTTAATGTTATTACCCAGAGGCCGAAAGGCTACGACAAGAGTTTCGTAATCACAACATAATCTCCGGTGGTTAATAAACACTACAAAGCTTCACTGGAGTCTGATAACCAGAACAAAACGGCACTGCTTGGAATAACCGTTGGACGACTAATGTAGATAGAATTTTTTCTCGGAATATTCCCTTTTTACCTCGTTTTCCTTTCATAACGGCCAATTAGTTATATTTCCAATTTTTACTTGATCACGCTTAACTCGTGTACGAAAAATGTGTGACTGTCTAATTTATAATGTCATCTACCCTTTGGGAATATAAACCCACTAAGTGCTGTCAAATTCACTAGCATGACTGGAATGTCCTTAATGTACATTATCAGAAGCCTGGGGCTATATCTCAACACAAAGAAGTTAGTGCAAGGAAATTACATAGTTTACACTTGTACGTACTTGTCCGAAACGATTGTTTTCGTATGTTAAACGGCAAATGAAACGTAGTGATGGTATTCCCCCGTTGCTGTTACACGAAAATTCAGAATTACTAGCTGAATCAGATCGAGCAAAAGCTGAGACTTTTTCAGATTATTTTAGCGAAGTCTTCTCTACGTTTATTGTAACAAATACTTGTCCCACTCACACCGAGATATCAACCATTGAATCTGTACAGGTGACTGAGGAAACTGTCCTTCCATTGATAACTAACCTCAAACCTGGTAAGATACCGGGCCCTGACGGGTTACATCCACGGTTGCTGTCATCTCTTGCGGACATTATTTCAAAACCGCTTGCGACACTCTTCAACATGTCCCTCTCACTCGCTCAACTCCCTAGAGATTGGAAGGACGCTATAGTTAGTCCTATATTCAAGGACGGTCAGCGACAGATAGTATCTAACTACCGGCCTGTCAGTCTAACTAGCATAGTAGTTAAGTTACTCGAAAAGATAATTCGGGTTAGGTTGCTAAGCCACACAGATTTACACAATCTGTTAGCTCCTGAGCAACACGGATTTCGTAACAAGCGTTCATGCTTGACTAACTTGCTTATTGCGAGGGAGGATTGGACAGCAGTCCTAGATCACGGTCTGTCTGTCGACGTGATATTCATAGATTTTAGCAAAGCGTTTGACAAGGTTTCACACGTAGGTCTTATGCAGAAGCTCACGAGCTTCAGAATAATAGGTACTGTACATGAGTGGATAGGAAATTTCTTATGTGACCGCAGACAGAGTTAGGGTCAATGGAACGCTATCCGATTGGAAGCCGGTCAAAAGTGGTGTACCCCCAAGGCACCATCTTAGGCCCTCTGCTCTTCCTTCTCTACGTTAATGAGTTACCACTGTTACTTAGGTCGTCGACATTATTGTTTGCGGATGATGTAAAAATCTGGAGAACAATAAAAAGTGCGGCTGATCATGTGGATCTTCAAGCTTAGACGATTTAGTTAGATGGGCTCGAGAGTATGGCTTAGAAATCAATGCTAAGAAGAGTGTACTAATGCACGTCGGTCACGGTAATAGTTACCGTTACACTATTGAGGGTAAACCTCTTCCATGCGTTCAAGAGCATAAGGACTTAGGAGTAATATTAAGTCATGATTTAAAAACAATGCGCATTGCAAAGCAGCCGCTGTCAAAGATTTTCGTGCGTTATGGTCACTTCGTCGAGCGTTCAAATCTTTTGACGAGGAAACGTTTCGAATTTTATATCCCATATATGTTAGACCACATTTAGAGTACTGTATCCAAGCAGCTAACCCGTGTCTGGTAAAGGATACTAACTCCCTTGAGAGTGTCAAGCGTGTGGGAACGAAATTAGTGAAGGGTCTTTCTAGACTCCCTTACGATGAGCGCTTAAAACGCCTAAATCTTTTCCCCTTGTCGTATCGTAGGACACGAGGTGACCTTATACTGGCATTTCGTATCTTTAATTATGATTTGGGTGTTAATATGTCTTATCTTTTTGCTCCCTCCAGCACTAATAATCTCCGAGGTCATAGCAAGAAGGTTCATAAACCACGATCTAATAAACCTAAAGTGGGATCCCGTTTTTCTCATCGAGTAGTCAATCATTGGAACGCCTTACCCGAACAAGTGGTATCAGCCCCATCAGTGAATACTTTCAACGAAAAGCTGGACCTTCACTGGAAAGCAATGTGTCAGGATTAACACAGGTTCATCAACCTACTATCCTTATTACTGAAGACTGAAGACTAACTTACCGCGAAGACATTGAATATTGCATTTCGCGATTGCGTTACTTAGCATATCTAGTTTATGTGAGATTAATCATTATTAAGGGATTGTTATTACGGCTCATATAGCCACTTCTTTGATGAACAAATGGTTACCCATGTTTTTGTCATCGGACATATGAAGCTCTACTGACGTACTTTTATTGTGTCGTGACAGATACATGTAATCAGCCAACTATTCAAATCTCCAACTTAACATGTTGTAAATAGAGCAAGAACAAATTAACATGTTGTCTTGTGTATAATATGTAGATTGTAAATAATATAAGTTTAGTGATCATAATGTCTAGCCCAATAAACAAATCTAAAGAGTCGAAGGATTTGATTGATTTTGATTGCGATTTTAACAGTCCTACTCATAAGTTTTCAGAGATACAGTTAATGTTCGACCCCTTAATTCCGACGTCTGTTACTTCAGATAAAAACAAAAGAAATGGCCATGTTTTTCTCAATCCTTATGCCGAGCCTTCGGATACCTCAAATGAATGCAAAACTGAACATTCGCCTTTCGATTTGATGTTGGATTATTCATCAGGTCCCATTGGATCTCATCTCGTGAAACCAGATGAATTACTTCTGCCTCACACAGTAAAGGATGCTGATAATGTTCTTAAAGATGAAAATTTCCATTTATCAAATAAAAAGCTTATTTTTCCATCGGTTATGGATGTGCAATACAATACCTGTTCAGCGAAGCCACAAGTGAGTATTTGCTGGCTTTATTTTGAGATAGGGAGCTTTCACATTGATCATAATTATATTCAAAATTTTGATTGTATGTGGTCACTTGCACTGTTTTGATATACTGTTCAAGAGAATTGACCAGCATAGGTCAAATAATGATTTAATAAACTCTTCAGTAAATGGAATCACTGTGAACTTCATAGGAACAAAGGTGTTCACCCTAATGACTTTTGTATGTTTTCAGGAAGAGTAAATCACAAGTATAAGGTTTTTGTGTAAGAGGTCGTTCAACGAAGCACTACCGTCGTCACTTATTTGAAGACTCGATATTTCTGTATGATGAATCCGTATATAAGGGTTTTTGACGCTTCTTAATTTACCTCTATTAACTATTTCACAAATATGAACTATATCCTGACTTTCAAGTTTTGATAACCATGTAATCTGTATTGAAATGTCATCCAACAGGTGCTTAATTATTGAAACAATCAATTGGTTATACTACTGTAGTTCATTATTTAAATAAGAAAAGTGTTGCGTCGTAGTTCAAAGCTTTCAAGTTCTTTGTTTTTGATTCTGTTGTTTTCTAAACACTATTTTCCTTTACGAATTACTTCACACCATATTTGTCCTCAGTCAACCAAACATACTCGGTGCACAAGCATCATATCAAGTAGTAATACCACATTAACACGGTGAGATAAAATCATCTATCCTCAGCATGCCACAAGTTGTCATCATGATGTGATTTTCGATTTTTAAAGCTCGTGAACATTTAGTGTTTCAGTAAAGGGCGATCAAAGTCAAGGGATATGTTTCAAAACCTCCTTGATTTTTGATAACCGACTACTTAACAGTTATTTAGGGTGATTTGGAAGATAACTCTTGGAAGCTCACTTAAATTTCTTTGTAACCCCAGTTCTGGATGGGCCACAACCTGTTTATAGTTGTATGCACTAGTTCTTGTTACATCGTCGTATCTTTTTTAGGTCAATCCTATTTTTAACTCAGTTGTACGTCGTTTTATCTGTTTCACGTAAATCTGGTACTATGCGTACATTAACGGTCCTCATTCACTTTGCAACTGCTAGTTGGCGTATTGCATTTACTGTCACAACGAAGCTTCGAAAAATAAGAGAGGATAAAACAAGAGAAAGGAGAGGTAGATTTTATTCACTATTCACTCAGGCAAAGCACCTCTGTGCTTTTTTACTCTTTGATCAATCCATTTTCGCGTAACGTATGAAGCTATAATTTATGCGTACGACATTCTTGAATTTGAACTGTTTGTCATCAGTGTTCGTGTTTTTTTAGTGTATCTTATAAAAGTAAAATATAGATAATTCTGAAGCCCTTGAATACACACTATCATTTAGTCAAAATCTAATTGATATATGCGCAAATAGCAAGTTTTCGAACCGTAAAATGTTTATGTCTGTTCTATAAAATATAAAGTTTTGGAGTTTGAGGATATTATTATTCAATATTTTTACTATCTCCTAGTGTTCACCAACTTTTGAGAAGTTTTTGTGCATATGAATATCTAGCTAACAATTGTTTTCGAAGTTAAACTATTATTTCATCTTTGTGGCGGTTAGTGGATAAAAAACATGGCGAAAAATTATTAGTATCTGGGTACTGCTAAGGTTCCCAGGAAAGTCGGAGAAATTATTTATTAGCACTCTATCAAGTGCATTACTAGGCTCACACCTACTTACTTCGGTTTGGCCATCCAGAAAGTATCACTAAGTTCTATCAAAACATTGTAGCCGAAAGCTAAGTACCTAAAGCCGTTATTTCCCAATGAGTCGTATTAAACACTAAATGTTATCTCGGTCGGTTGTTCTACATGAGTTCAACTAGTGTTATCCGTATTGCACAGTGTTAGGTGAATTTATATAAACATGTTGATGTTAATATGGCATTTATAGTTAATTGTAACTTCTGGTCGCATCCAAATGCCTTGGTACGACCGAGGGTAGCACGAGTTTACCCTCCCTCTCGAAGTGCTCTCACATGGCTACGCGTATACAGCCACTGCCTTCTCGCAGCGGGGTTGTTGTTTACGAAGTCGCGAGGACGAAAAGCGAATGGCTGTAGCTTTAACGTGGGTTGTTGGATATGGAGGATCCACGTAGGGGAGTTGATAAACCCTGATTCCAAATCAATGGTGTACATGGGCTCTAGGATCCTGAGAGAACAAATGGCGTATGAACATATTGTTGATCACCGGCTACAATAGGATCGCATATTCTGAAGTTGCTCAACTGCCTTGTGGATTAGGCCTCTAGGTCAAAGGCTCGGGGAGTGACCCCCCTGGGCAAACCACCTTCATCGGTTTGGGCATCGGGGCACTATGCCAGCCTTCACACAAATCAAATGACAACGTGTGGCGCATATCTATTTGGTGCCTCCTTGTACCGATGTTTGTGTTTGAATAAATAAATAAATACTTCTGGTATCAACATACAATGAATTATGGCCGTAGTCTTTAGGATCACATTAATATTTGCAAACAGAAAACTTTATCAAGTGGAATCCCAGTCACAACATAATCTTCAAGATAGATAGTTCGATATTATTGTATTCTGTTTTTGCAGATGACTAGTTTAAAAGTCACTTAAAATACCTCAACCTGGTCTATAAAAAATCTCATAAGGGCCTTCTGCACTTGTCCACCAGCGCAGATTAGATAGGCATAAACCAACCAGCATATCTAGACAATTTTTGCAATAAACATGAAAGATAAATTGATAGGAGTCCATCATACCAGGAGCTCTGGTTATTTTGCGTTTCAAGGTCGACTTTCAACGTTATGTAAGTTACTTGCTATTTCTGTTGTAATTTAAGAGGGGTTTCCTTCCTAATTTAGTTATCTTTCACTGTCTATTTATGTAGGTTAGCACCAGTTCAGAAATTGATTTGAAAGGAAATCAACATGATTTGTTTTCATTTTCTCAAACTGTTACTCCATGGTGCCTTCGCAAGGATGACAAAAATAATCCTCATTGTACAACGATTAATCAAGAAGGATTGTCTTCAACAACACAACTGACTCATTTTATTGCTAACAGTCAACCTACAGACGAATTGAAACTATTTGTTAGTTTTGTTCAAAGGTTAGTTTACTTCTGATCTGAATTAGTGATTTGTAGTTTCAGCTTAAGAATATGATAAATAACGACCGAGCATAGTGCTTGGTCGTGCAGTTGTTTCAAAACCATGGCATAATGCTTTTGTGGTTGTTGGTTAATCAGTCGATGAATTTGTTAATCAGTATGACTTCTGATATGTATATAACTACTGTAGATAAATGGGTCCATCTGTACACATTTATGATACTTATAAGAGTAATTAACATTTAATATTATCAGGTAGGGATAACAACTTCAAAAAGATAGTCAATAAGATTTAAATTTGTAGATAACTTTGATATTCCAGGAAAGTGAAATGTTTACGTTAAACGATATTTTTCATGTAGTTTATTTTGGAAAAATATGTTGTTTGATGACCTGGTTTAGTTTTTTTATTCTCGTCTTCATGATTAATGATAACTGCATTGATTGCCAGTTAGTTAACAGAGATCTATCCGAAAAAATGTTTGATTTTTTAAATAGATTATAGATTCCTAAAATAATTTCCAGTGAAAGCTGGTTTTTTCCATCTCAATTGAGATGTGAAAATATAATTTAATATACTTTGATTATGAAGCCGAATACTGGGCATCTTACTAATTCAGGCTCCCATTAGTGCACATTTATTGGCTACCTGATTATATAATTTACCAACTTCAGGTGAAGTGAGTCGGAAGTTTATTGCCGAGTTTAACTGCATGTTTTATCAAAAAGGGATATCAATAAAAAAGCGAACAAAAAAACAAAGTGAAACTCGAAGATTAGAGATAACCCCAAAACCAATGTTTCTAGCTGCTGTCAGCTTCTGACAGAAAGTGTCTTCAAATCGTACTGAACTGGAAAATATGCTACTGAATTAGCGAGACAGGATTTTTTAATATCGTCCAATAATTGTTCCTTTTTTCATTTCTGTTACATTACCTACAGAATTATTAATGTGGATTATCTCTTGACTTTCATTATTAATTTTGTCCGATTAATTTATCTACTCTACTGTTATCATGATTAATACCAGCCATGCAATACACTGCACTACTACCATCGTTATTTCAATTGGCTATAATATTATTTATTATGTATAATTATTTCAGATAGTATGTTAATAGCTTTATGGTTTCATGTAAACTATTTGTCGAATTACCTATTTTCGAAAAGAAAACGCAATCGTTTTAAAATGTTTATAAAATATATAAAGGTACTGACAGTGTATGTTTTGAACGGTTAGACATAGTTTTTGATTTAAATACAGCCATTATTAATCATTATGAATGTGTTTATCATAGCGATAAATATTCTCTTACTTATAAATGATATCAGTTGAATTCTATTTTTATTAGTTCCTGTGATTTATTTATTAAACAATAAACTGGTTAATTGCAGACTAATCAGCTTATTTTCTAAATCTTGACATCCCATTGTATTTGGTCATCTAGCAGGTGTGCAGAAACAGCGTTTCGACAGGCGTATTGATATTAGGTTACAGCTGAGTGCCTAGACTATGTAGTAATCTCATACTACATAACACATGCCTAAATACTAGCACTCAAGATTGGTTATATTTCTTGCTCAAATAATAAGTATTACATTTTATAAACAGTAAAACGAAGTAGGATAAAGTGTAAATTATAGCAATGAGGCTGGATAAATCGCCACTCGAGCTTTGACTAGCTCATTTGGATGACTCAGTTTGAATAAAATTTCACTGTACAACGTAGTTTTCGTCATGAACTGACGTATAGTATAGAAAGGTAATAAAAACTCCGGATAGATGCTTTTTATCGGTTTTAAACTCTTTTGTCTACTTTCTTTTCCTGAAAAACACAGGTAGTTCTCCGCAACGAGACTTATTTCAGGCTATAACAATAATTATAAGGTTTCACTACAATTTAATAGACCAAGACGTATATACAAGTAAACAGGTGAATATTGAGTAAGATGAAAAAAAACGTTTAAGCAACACAAGAAACAACATGTTTTTCAGTAATGATTAGATTATCAGTCAATATATAATCATATGGCTGGTGTGTAAATATACTCGGTGTATATATTTCACGTGTTTTCCTGTTAATAGTGTACTAGTAAGTGTATCCTTATAATTTTTTAAAACCTTTATTTGTTAATAGATGGGTTAAACGTGCAATGGATTATTTTATCTAAAAAGGAAGATTTATGAGAGTCTGCGCTTTTCATTTTATAAACTTCATTTAAATTGAAATGTTCACATTTAAAAACAGATATTTTTATCAGTAATTTTATACTCAATTAAAAAATTGGATGATAAGGGTATTCACTTACAGTACTTATCATCCTAGTTTTTGTGTATTACATATTAATGAACTTTGTTCTATATAATTGTATTATCTTGACTGACCAAAGTGTGAATTCAGCTTGTAAAAAACATCAACCAATTCAGTAAATTGTACCTTCGAAATACATAGAACCACTTTATAGTAATAATAGTCTTTTTGTAATCATTACTGACCAGATTCGAGATAGATTTCAAAAAGAGTTGATAAGAAGCTTATTGACTGTACGTGGTACTTTTGATATGGAAGTCGGACGTGGTTATTGTGATAAAGGAACACTTGTTCCTTTATGTTCCACCATGCCAGACAACCTGGTTGGAGAGGTTTCAGACTATAAGAAGCGACCTCTATATTCTAGTAAGAATTTCCACTGGTTACTGTACAAACGTGTAACTACAGTAGTGTTTTCTTCAGACAACCAACGGCCGTAGAAATTCTGCCTTTTCACAATATGAGGATGAGCTAGATAATGCTGCCATCAAAACAGTACACCTCTTCTTGCCCCACAGATCCCTGTCGCCTGTAGTAAAGTCTTAAAAGTACAGCATTAACATATCGAAAATCATTCCTAAAAAGGCCGCGTGTGATCTAAGGTCTCACTCATATGCCAGAAACATACCTTAAGGAGAAGTATTTTTCTACGGTATCAGAAACCTACAAGTGGCAACAATCTCTGTACCTCTAATAGCGCTCAAGATCAGCTTGGTTGGATGTGACTTATAGAATTAAAAACGTTAAGAATCAGGTAGCAACGTATTAATGATATTGAATGATTATCGCTGTATATCACAAATTGATTGAGGCGGAAAACGTATATCACTAGATCCCGATTATGTTACTTAATGATATTGGGTTTGTTATGTGACGTTAAGGTTCAACATTTGGTCCCTTGTGGAATTTTGGATGTGCATTCCTAGGGAGTACCAAATTAGAGCAGTAATTTATCGTTTTCCACTATTTCTTTAGCTATCCTCAGTTCGTCATGAAATTTACCCTCCAAATACACATGTTCTGATGTAAGTTTTAGCCATCCGGAATGTTATATATGCATTTCAGGTGCCATATTGTATGTAACTAACTGGTTAAATAACCCTCCACAAAACTATTTCACTTAATAATGTATATTTACAGTCTACTTAGTTGTTTTCTGCTTATTGAAGTATTGTCTTTTTAGCTCAGTCTACTATTATTTTGACAACTGGTTAGTTTTATGACGTAAAATATATCGTGTAAAAACTTCATAAATATATTTGAGTAGTGACCGTTTAAGTTCCAGAAATAATGAATTTAAACTGTTCTATTTCGTAAAACTATAGTTACATTAGTCGGTTAAATAAGTAATTGATTTTGCATTAGTTTGGCTAGATGTGACTATTCTTTGGAGCACCCTTAGGATACATTAAATACTTTGGAATCCGTCCTTTTTATTTCACTCCAGACTTCACCTAACCGTACTCAATACATTTCTTTGTCAAAAATGCTCCATAAAAACGTATTCAGTACGATTGACTAAGACTCTCTGAACTCTGTCAGGATTCGTATTAAACGTAGACTGTTTTAGACAAAAGTTGTAAACATCCGTATCTGTACTATGAGGTTCCTATCATTTTTGCTATGTAATTGAGTTGAGTAGGTTATCTGACTATGTCAAACTTATTTAATTTTTTTCAGTCAATCATTTTTGAGATCGATAAACAATCAGACTAAATAGTTCGAACAAAGGAAAAGCATCGATAGATTTTGTTTACTCACATTAAAATTCTATGTGCGGTATATTTTACTTCAATTGTATATGAATAATACAGAATAAATAGTAGGTCTATTGTATGTTTGGTTACACTAAGAATGTTTAAAATGTAGGTCTACTATCTTAGTGTTTATTATTTGAATTCAAATATTTCTTATCTGAGTTTTAAGCTTTTCTATCTTTACTACTACTACTACTACTACTAATATAGTTTTTCAGATTAGAACATCGATCACAATGGTTCCGTAATTAGGTCGATTACTATAGTAACCGTTTTTATGCAAGAATATCTTCCCACTCCTTTTGTAAAACTAGGTAAACAAGTAATCACTTAATATGTTGTATGTTTTACAATAAGGGTTTCGTTGTAAAATGATGTTGGGACTTTGTTTACCATATTGTTTGAAGTACTTTAAAGAAACATTTATAGGGGATAAGTTAATCATGTAGGCACTTGCTCATTCTCTATGAATCATCAGAGAAAATATATTGAGATGGTGGAGTTTCGTTCCCTGAGTTGTATGGTTTGATCGTAAGGTTTTCATTATTCTGAACAATATCATCAGCACGAACTCCAGGTAGAAGTGAAGTGTTTGAGTTCCCTTATATTTGATAGAAAGCTTGTGCTGTCGACCTTGATCTTGATTGGTTGTTTTTGACCTTTGACCAGTCGTTGTCTGCATATTTATTTTGATTGTCTCCGTCTTTGACTTGTTTCTTTATCCTACTTTTGTTTATAAAATTTCTGATTGACTGTTAACTTGGATCGATTTCGATTAGTTTATTGGTCAGTGATTGAGCTGAGTACCAAGCTTTGGTGTTTCTTGTATTCTCTCTATTCAAAATCTCAACATTTTTCCGGTTGAACATGTGTCCATAATTGTACACGTGCGTTGATATTAGCGGAACTACATCGTGGTATTCATGCAGACAAAGTTGCAGTGTTTTTTGCACAGTTTATTACGTGGACGACGTTTAGCTTTTCTTTTTTTGTCGTTTCATTTTTCAGTTTGCATAAGATTGGTTGAAGTGGTCAGAGTGATATTTCCAGTGATAATTCGAATAATATGATTGATTAATTTTAAATAATTTTAACCATGTAGTGTAACAAATTATGGAAAAGTTACAAAAACTATGAGATGAATGCAAGTTCATAAATTCGGGTGATCATGTAGTATGTTGTGCTTGCCACCCTTATATGACCTTCTTCTAATATACACATGGTACTGGGGTTTTAATCAAAGAGTAAACTTTATCAGATTATGCAAATGAAGTCAGCTGTGACTAAGAATTTGTTTGTTAAAAAGATATAAGAAAACTGAAGCTCATCTTTATATTTTTTAAATTTCCAGTGTATTTTTACTTGCTTTCTGTCTATAATGGAGTTAATTTGGAGCTCAGACAGATACGTATGTTGGTGTTTTTGTTGTTGTTAGATTCAAACCTTCTACTGTCATTCTAGACAGCATCATCAGCGTCTACTCCATGTAAAAGTAAGCCATTCAGTTATTCAACAAATATCAAATCAACCCATCCTGATGAATTCTAGTGATTGATTGTTTTTGTAGGTCTATTTCATCATTTGATCTTGAATTCCTGTTGACCATCTTCTCCCGTTGATTTCTGGTCATGTGAGGGATTGGCCTTTTCTGTGTGAGTATGCAGCCTGGATTTATTGATTACTTATTGATTTAAAAACTGTACTTCTGAAAATTCTTCGGCGTTCTTAGGATTCCCTCGGTTCAGGAATTTTTCAACGGAATTCATGATAATTGTTGTCTTGGGTAGTGTATCGATTTTCTATACACCTTTTAGTAAGGTTGCTGGGGTATCTATTCTCATACAAGAAAGGTATAAAATGAATTTCTACAATATTTTTGTGTAATGAGCGAGGTTTTGTTTTTTCAGGATACCCTCCGTACGCAACTTTTCCTGTGTGTTTTTAGGACGTTACTGTTATACTTCAATGTTTGATCTGTTCGGCTTAGCTTTCTGTTTCATGCGTTCCTATCTTTGTCCTATCAATCAAAACATTCAAGAATGAAATTTCGTTTTCTGATTTTTGTTTTGTAAGTTTTCTGTTATCAAGGAAGTTACTAATCAACTTATACATACTTTCGAGTTCATCTCTGTTCAAGATAAGACTTAAGACTACAGCTCTACCAATAATCAAACCAATGATTTGAATACTCTGTATACATCACATGTTTATTCATGAATGAGTGGTTGACCAGCATTATTTTTATCTTTTTATATAATTATACTCGTATAAAATTAATACTGTACTTTAATATACATCAGTTTCTGACTGTACAATGTTTAGATATTTCTTTAAATTTTAGGTAAATAGTTCAAATTGAATAGTAGCAATTGTATTAGTTATGCGGATTAGTGAATTTTTTAATTTAGTATTTTCATTAAGTTACATTAATTATTGATTTTTCGCTTAGCTACTAACATTCATTAAATCTATTATTATTTTAATTTGTATTGAATTTAATATTTATGTTGTTTTTTCGTATAATCTAAGCGTGAATATTGTTAGAGAAAGTTTTCTAATGAATAATTAGTTGTGCAATGAATATCGATTACTTTTTATTTCGTTCATAATAGTTTCCAAATTACTCAATCAATATATTTTTTTACAGCCATGCAGTAGTAATTGTCAATAAAATTCCATACTACAGTGTCTCCTGTAAAAAGCGTATAGTGTTTTCTCGTGGTAATTGTTTCTACAATTTTAATGATGAATTTTGGAATTTGTAAAGCATACTGTATACAGTATTCTTCATAAGACTGTGGGCCTATCCGTCAATAAATTATTGTTTATACCAATAAATAAAAAAATTGTTTATTAATTTCCACTGTTTAAGTAGGTTCATAACTCAGTATGTTTATGTCATTAAGGCGAAGTACTCTTCTAAAGTTCAATGAACAAAATTTTATAATCCTAGTAAATACCTTTGTAAGTGTTTTCTGGAATCGGTGTTCTATGAATCTGTGGTTTTATGTTTTGGACGATAAATTTTAGCGGAATAATTTTTAAATTCATATGTTTCACTTAGTAATGCATAATATTATTCCATCAGATACAAAGTTCTAAAATATTAAATATTTGGTCATTGCACAATAAAATCCACCACATGATTAACACTAAAGTCTATTGCTAATTTTTGTTCGAGGTTATTGTACGAGTAAATGAGATGTTTATATTGTGTTGCCTGAAATGCTTGGGATACATTTTATTTATTATTCAGCTACATGGTACTTATTATTAAATAGTCTTTGGTACTGACCATATTCTGCCTCTTCGACTTATCAATGTGATTACCAAGCTCTAGATGACTGGGTATCGTACTGTATTTGCAGTTCACTAACGGGTTGTTTTAGTTTTCTGTCGTGTTTTCATTTGTACCCATGAGAATGAAGTATTTTCAACCATAAATACCATCTTAGATACATTCATTTTATCAATTGAAATTAATATCACTGATTTATTCAACTTGTAATTATTTCTTTATATGATTTTGTTATACATTCTAATCCGTCAATTCACTTAGCTCAGTGTAAAATATGTTGTCGATTTCAACAAACATTCTTTTATTGAGGTTGTCGTCTAAACTTTTCTTCTGAACCGTATTTATTATTAATAATTTTGTTTCTCTCTCGATAACATATTTTACTATTCCATTTGGTCACTTGTCTATATTTCATTAAGGTCAATGGATTATCTTTAGATATTATAGGTGAATTGGAGATTATTAATCAAAAATTGAAGAAAAACGCAAATCATTCCTTATATATATAATTGATCACTGAATAGTGAATAACGTTGCGTATGTTCATTTCTTCTTGGTGGTGGTCGGCTTCTATCGATTGAGTCACTTAAACTAGTGGGTACTTCGCAACTTGATCGATCGAGTCCGATCAACACTAAGGACTTGACATAATGATAAGAAATGCCGTTGATACGTATTTTGAATGAAACATTTTTTAATTCCTTGCTTTTCTTGGTTAAATGGGGAACGTGTATCTTTGTTCACTTAACTAGGATTGTCATCAAAACGTATTTTACTGGTTAATGGAATATACAAGTGCATCACTGAATGTTAGTGTCTGATCAACCACTGCTTACCTCGACGTGTAGTGTTTATTGGAAGAAAGCTAGAAATGGCCGAACCAAGACGTGGCATTAGTACAGGAAGCCATTGAGTCGTAGGCTGTCTCATTGGTAGATGGAGACTATGTGGTTGGGGTCTGCGCTGTGACGATAGCCTGTGATCGGAGGCGTTGATTCACATGACTCAAGATAGGCTGTAGGTAGCCCGAATGTATTCACTCTTTCGATCTTAAGTTCCTGCTTTTTTACTGTCATTGCTAAGACAATTACTTCGACTCGTTTGCTATCCATTTTTTTAATGTCATTTCACTGTGATAATGTTATATAGCAACTTAGTCCAATGCATATTTGTACTAGGCTAGACTCTGTTTTCAACTAACTGAGTACCCAGTATTCTTACTAAATTTTGGTCCACTTAAATTGCTTATCAGTAACAGGAAAACAAGTGCGTAATTTAAATATTACAGTATACTCATAAACATGTTGATTTTCTTGTTAGATTCTCAAACAAATTTTTAATTTTTTTCTTACAAAAGCAATTAGTGATTCGCAGTTTCATAGTTATTTTATTTTTTCTTAATGCCTTTTGTAGCCTGCGACGGCAAAAGTATAATAAGCCAAATACGTCTACATTAATCAGTGATCTTGATAGTGATTCTAAACAAAATGAAAACATTTCCGCACCTGTGTATTCACCTCCAGACACTTGGGCATATGATTGTGTCTATAGTGATTCTGTTACAAATGTAATGTTAAAAAATTCGCACACAAGCATTAATTTACTTTCGTTAACTTCTAGTTCAGCTGAATATCAACAGATGAATCCGTTATGGAAGACAGAAACTGCCGCTTCTAATGTATCATATATATATCCTAAATGTAAAGAATATTTCGGTTCTCAAAATAACACTCCTGCTCATTGGACTAATACACCACGTTGGTGTATTCCTCAATTAGAAGTACGCATTACAGCGCATTTAAATACTAGAAAAAAGTCATATCAAAGTTTCACTACAAATAACTCAAATTCAGTCAATTCAGAAACTACGAATAATTCTCCAGTCAATCCTCGGTTACGTTTAGTTTGTGATCGTAAGTAATTTCTGTTGACTGTTTTTTTGTGTGTAATATCTCAGTGAAAGTGATTAGACATAGTACATTCTATATGATTTTACGTCTTTTGTATATATTGGACATATTGATTCATGAGTTATAGGGGGTTTGTTTCGTCGTCATCAATCATTTCTCAGTAGTACACCTCCCAACCTCAGGGTTTTCAAGCTTGTTCAACGCTACTGGTTTTCCGTCGTTGTCTAACTGCAGTCAGTACGTGATGTCAATTACAACAATGCGATGAGTTACTGGTATCACTTTATTTCTCTTACGTAAATTAACTATTAATGACAACTGATTCATTTCGGTTATTGATATATACATGCACCATTTATATGAATTTGAATTATAGGTTAAATTAGACTGATTTTAATGCACAACTAAACTAAATAGGTAATGTAATCTATTTTTCTGTTGCAAATATATGTACTCGGTTTCGAATCAAACTTTTTACGTAACATTGTGGTAATACTACCCAACTACTTTAACTAAAGTACACGAATTGTGACTTCGAATTAGTAATTCAGTGGTTATAAATCGAGTGCTTAAACCACTAGACTATAATTCATTATGAAAATTGTTACATCGTTTTAAGATTCATTCAGTTAATAAGTTAGTTAATCAGTCATTTATTAAGGACATTGAACTTGATCAACATGTTAAATGTGTTAACCGTTTTTTTTCATTCAAATTAAATGAATGAAGAATGCTGAGTTTTTATTTTATTTTTCGTTCGATAAATCAAACTAAATATCATCATTATTGATTTAATAATATTCGGACCAATTTAGTAACAATTAGTACTTACTATAAGCAAAGATGGATAGTGGCTAGCAGTGGAATCCAGGACTCGCGTTTCGTCCTGTTTGGGACTCGTCAGCTGAATGTGCCTGCATCTCAGAGTTGATGTTCACTCTGGGACTCGAACTCAGTACCGCTCGCTTCAAACGCCATCGCGTTATCCACTTAGCTACTGATAGCCACTTGCCTGTGCACTCTGAGGTGCAGATACATCCAGCTGACGAGTCCCAAACAGGACGAAACGCGCGTCCTGGATTCCACTGCTAGCCACTATCCATCTTTGCTTATAATGCTTGTAAATTAAGGCAATATCGAGGCATACGCACAGTAGGCACATATGCCAATAAGTGACTGATCAATTTCAGTCCTAAAACATCGATGGGAAGATTCAAGTAAAACAATATCAGGTGAATTAGTACTTACTGTTTATATTAATGATAATTAAATGTTTTTCTTTTCTGTTCTGTATTTTTTTAATACTTTTATTGGATTTTTTAGCTACATCCACATTAGTCAATGAACTTATGTTGGAAGCACTTGCTAACGATTTAATTCCACAAGAAATTGTTCTGGATGTCAATCATTTTCAATTACGTCTTCAAGGAAGAGCTGAACTATTACGTCCGTAAGATGCTTTTTCCTTTTTTACAAATTAATTTTGTTATGAAATCGAAGCAGTAATACCAGTAGTAATTCTTTTTGTCACCTCATGACAATATTGACAAATACTTAAAGAAATTTGATACGATGACCTAGAATGTAGTTGATTATTGTGTGAGTGACATAAGAAATTGACTTTTTTTTACCAATCTTTAATAACATTTAACCACACTTTGACAAGGAACATTAATTTTATGATATTGTAAATTTGTATTTATACAGTAAGTTATTGATTGGTTCGTGTTAAGTATTACTCAGTATAGTTTACATTAATTTAACTGCTGAACACTATGGATGAAAATCAGATAAAAGTTAGTGTATTCTGATATTTATTTTGGGTGTCAAGTAAATTCTCGTTTAATATTTTCATGTCCTCACTCTTGTCGTGTGAATCGTGTATTTCAGTAGTTAGTACTTATTATCCACTGTCACAACAACTGTCAGCATTTTTGGGAGGATAAAGTAAATCCTCATTTGCATGTTTTCTTGTCCCTATTACCATCTTAGAAATTGTGATGGTTTCCAGTCTCAACTATCAGATATCCTTGCCGTTAAAACGACATACAAAGAAATATGATTGATAATTGTTAGCAAAAATATGAAACTACTTTTATTATTCTCATCTATAAATCAACATATTTTGGAAAGATAAACATTCTTTGAAACCTGTAGTTCAGTGAAATTTATTTGCCTTATGGTTTGCTCTCTAAAACTAACATATTAACTCGGATATTCTGTTTTTGAATACGTTTTGTCGTTCGGTAATTTATAATGGCTCTGTAATGTAAATTGATTTGCTGAAAATATTTTGTGATATTTTAACTAAATGTTCTGTTAGAGATCTACTAAAAACAGAAATATATTCATTTTGTAACTTCTAGTTTCTACCTGCAAATGTCTTTTGTTTTATTAGTGTTTATTTAGATAATACTTAGTAGTTGTTGAACAAAGTGTACTAAATTAAAAATCTGCTGTTACGTAATTTAGGTTTCTGAAGGACTGGATAGCTGTTTTGTTTTAGTCATACCAGTCTGTGAAGTAAAAAATCAAATTAAATGACCTCCACAAATCTCTTATCCTAGTGATAATCGTATTCTCAGTACTGGCTACTTTAATTAAGTAATCCAGCGAATTCTAATGAGAAACTGTAATTAGTGGAGTTCATCTATAACGGGTTTAAGTCATTACCCACCAATAATAACACTGGACGTTGGATGTGCAGTATCATAAACTGATTAAATGTCTGGTATTTTCATAGAGTAGATATTTCTTTCTAATTGGATGGTTGTAATAACAGTTGAACTATCTCTTATGTTTTTTTGTCCGGCTTTTATCACGTGATTTATCCACCAATCAAAATACGACTTGTACAATCCTAGCACTGCCAAATCAATGACGTTCGACCGGTATGAGCAGCCTAGCGTCCTTATTGGTCCTATTTCCGCCTAACCCGTCCACTTGAGACCAGAACACCAATACCAGCTTCCATTATGCGAATGGAATAATTTATTTCAGTCATACTGGGTTTATATATCAATCAAACAGACCGCAATGCACTATAAAATAGGAAATAACATTTGTACACAATAAAGCCAAAAAGTGCCTGTGAACGTGGGAGGCAGTAGTTAATAAACTGAACATAGCTCAAGAACCGTAACTCGTACAATAATGAATTGTAGGTCAAAGTAAAGCTTATAATAAGAGGAATATAAATATATATAATCTAGTTATTGAATAGTTACACCATCAGAATGTATAGATAATATTAGTCAATTAATATCTCAGAAGTTACTTGTGATTTAATCTTCGCTCGGATATAACACTATGAAATAAAGCTCATTCACTAAAAAGTTCGAAAATACAAGCCGTACATTTAAATGTAGTTTTATGGTGATCAGAAGATCAAAATGCCGGACAAACCATTAATACTGATTAGGAAATTTGAGCTGAATATTCTCATAAAATGCAGGCGTACATATTCGGTTCTGAGCTTCATTTCGGTTGCTTAAGGTTTGACTAAATGGAAGCAAGTGTAACACTGATCGACCCAGTGACCTATTGATTAGAAACAGTGAAATAAGCAACTGTATTCTCTGTTCTATTCAGAGTTGAAATTACTTTATCCGTATATAACAGTGAATCAGTGTTTCCTTCTAGGTAAGCAGAAAACTACTTGTATCAGGTACATTTTCATTACGTTTCGCATATACAACTTAACTGCACGTTCGTGTGAGATAGTTTTTGTTGTTGTTATCCTGATTGAGGTAGTTAGGTTTATGTATTACGTGTCACCAACCACCACCTACCTTGACGCGCTATGTTGGCTTATTTGGGTGTAGGTTGTAAAAATTCTAAGGATGGCCACTCGTTCATTAAGTCATTGATAATTGATCTATGCCATGTTGGTAGATGCAGGCTACCTGGTTGGGGTTCGCACGATAATCATGACCTGTCTTTTGAAATATTGTTTATAATATGACGCACAATCGGTCTCAACTAGATGGGACCTTTATACTGTTCAAAAATGTGTCAGCTTCTATACTGCCCTTATGAATAATCTATTTTTGTTGTATACGTCGATTTCGTTTGTTTTCAAGCTACAAACTTTGATATACTCTATATTACCAATTTTTCCTAAAAATCCGATGTGTAATAATATATAATCCTATATTTCATTTTACTTAACCTCAAACTGTTATTGTTTTTGCTTTCTGTTCACCCTTAATGTATTCTTTTCCTTTGTGATTATCCTTAGAGATGCTCGTTTATGTGATTGTTATCAGGTTCAGCTCTGTCATCGATTGGATCAACCACTAAGATTAATTTTAGAACCAAAAGACGTTGATCAACCATATATAGAAAAAGTACGTAAATGTTGTTTTATAAAATATTATTGTCTACCAAACCCATTCATTTCACTTCAAATTTATTGTACAAGTTAAAACAAATTGCATCATAAGTATTTGTCCAATTTGTTCATTTAATAAGTAATAATGTTGAGTTTAATAATATGACGTGTGTTCATGAACTAATAGGTTATAAATTTACTGATTATTCCCACTATCTTCAAACAATTTTAATCAGATTAAACAGTAATATAAAATGTCTTTAGTATCTTTTAGTCGGTAGTATTTTCCTATCGAATGTCATATGGTTTTGTAATACGAACTTTAAATACTTCCACGGTAAACACAAACAAACACATATTTGTAATATATATTGTTTTTCAGTACTTGTTTTGATAGTTTACTCGAGATATTTTTGTAATTTAAATGAAAGTTTTCAACAACTATTAACCGAGAAGTCATTAGAAACTAGAAAACAACAGCCAACTGTTATTCGAGGTTTGCCATAAATATTTTATTTCTTGGCTGAGTTCGCGATTGTAGGTCGGTCGTCTTCAGCTTCGCTTCACAAATTTACATTTAGGACATAATTTATCAAGTAAATTCAACCGTTAATAAATAAAAATATTATTTAAGAGAATATGAGTTTTAGAATACCAACCTCCTACCTTTTTAGTTATAACGTTACTTCTCGAATTGGTCCTTTTTTCAAACAGCTTATTATTCAGTCGTAAGTATCCTTGATGAACGCCAAACATAAATGATATGCAACTCAAGTATCTCACTGATGTTGGTGTACTTAGTCTATGGGCTATATTACCGTATGGTTTATGATAGGCACATTGTGTTCATAGTTTTGTCACATTAGATGGTGTAAATAACTTGCGGGCTATTGAGTTGTAAACCTCAGGTCAGATCGCATAAACGATCAACTGATTTCAATCAATTTTATCCAATTAAATGACACTAAATATCTATTATTCAGTATTGAATGAGTGTATACCAACACTTTCGATTTTATTCATTTGTGTATGTTCATTATTTCCTACTTCCTGTCAACTATTAAATACTATTGAATTTTATGTATAAAATTGTTTTTAAACAATCTATAAATATGTTTTGCTCATAGTAATTACCTGATTGTTCATTATTTAGTAATGGATAACCAATGAACATTCACAAAAATTATACTGTTTTCGTAGAATTAGTAATAATCATTATTTTACATTAATTGCTATTCAAATATAGTATCTCTATTTTCATTGAAATCACGGATAGATCTAAGTCAGACAACCACTAAGAACTTGGAAGCGATGGAAAGCTGTTTCGTCCTAGTATCGGACTCCTTATCAGTGTCTATCCTTGTACCCACCCGTGGGGATCGAACCCAAGAGCCTTTTTTGCGCGCGAATGTTTTATCTTTAAACCAATGAGCCGGAACCCTATAGTATGTATGCTTAGCTTCAATCGGTGCTCGATATTGTTTAAATTTTCAATTGTCTCCAGTTGAACTCTGTTGACTGCGGCTTCAGCCGTACCAGGTCTGAAGTACCCACTGAAGACAATGAACTATAGCCGAGCTATATAAAGGATTAACTGAAGCTAGACGTGTATACCATTGAAACGTACCCCAATGGTTCAAAGGTTAATCGATCCCGCGTGAAGATGAAGGTCCTGTGTACGATTTCCGGCTGAGGGGTCCTTGAAGTATATATATATATATATATATATATATATATATATATATATATATATTAAGATTTTGAAAGGAATCTTAAGATCATCATATACTACTTTTCACTCGATCTGGTTAACGTATTCGTTAGCTCGTAGTTGATGTAGGTCAATGAAGAGTAGAAGTAAGTATTCTTGAATTTTTTAATACCATTGTACTTATTTATTTATTCCTATATATTCTGAGAATTATATTTTAATCCTTTTTATACCAGACTCTCAGTACCAATGAACAATTCATTCCTCAGAATTTCTTCACAAATAATCGACCAACACCTACTGAGTAAGTATAAACAGGGGATTTTTCTATCTTTCACTTCTCAATAGTCATTTGACGATAGTCTTTTATTTAAACCCTGTCTGCAGGCTCAAGCTTTTTCCATGTTGACAATCAGAACTGTGAGCAAGAACTAAGATTGGTACAGAATAATATGAATTCATTTTATTTCGTTAGGTTCTCAGCTGCTAACAACCCAAAATATTTAAAAGTCAACATTATTACAGATATTGACATACTTATACATACGAGAGTGATTAAAGATGAATATATGTATCATGATGTAGCGAAGATTTCAATAGAGTTAGTATGGTCGTAAAAACATTTGTTTCGGATAAATAGAGTTTGGGAGGGGAAGTTTCAGAACATTGAAATAGTGATTAGAACTTATGAAGTTGACAAACATTAAATGATTGTGTAATGAAGCAACTGAAAATAAATTAATGGTAATAAATGAAGATATGAAATGGAATCAGTCAGTTTTATTCAACTTAAATTCAAAGGTATGATGTAACAGGGTCAATCAATATGGAACTAAAAACTGCAATGACAAGAACTTATCCTGCAGCTAAACTGATTGTCTTGTCCAAAACAGCATGTTCTTTAACACAATCAAAGGTCGATGGGTATCCATTTCATGTTACCATCAACTGTGTAAACAAATTTACATGTATCTGCCAAAACAGTTACATTGGTAGGACAGAAAAGAGAGCCTATGCCCGATTCAAAGAATATATTCCGAAACGTTTAAGATCAAATGAATTAAAAGCAATCAGCAGAGCCATCGCAAGACTTCTCCTTGACACAGGATATGGAGTCGATACACTGAAGTCCTTCAAGGTGATTAAAAATAATAAAACTCCAACCTTTTGAAATTTGCCAAAGCGATAGTAATCAAACGTCTAAAACTAGATCTATGTATCCAAAAAAGAGACAATAATAAATCTTTCTTTGACCTGGTAACATTAACCCCCTTTTTTCTTATTTATTAGATCATTCATTATTTCAACATTTTCTGCAGTTTAAACTACATCATTGTCATTCTTCTTCAATTACTAATTGACTGATTCCATTTCATATCTTCATTTATTACCATTAATTTATTTTCAGTTGCTTCATTACACAATCATTTAATGTTTGTCAACTTCATAAGTTCTAATCACTATTTCAATGTTCTGAAACTTCCCCTCCCAAACTCTATTTATCCGAAACAAATGTTTTTACGACCATACTAACTCTATTGAAATCTTCGCTACATCATGATACATATATTCATCTTTAATCACTCTCGTATGTATAAGTATGTCAATATCTGTAATAATGTTGACTTTTAAATATTTTGGGTTGTTAGCAGCTGAGAACCTAACGAAATAAAATGAATTCATATTATTCTGTACCAATCTTCGTTCTTGCTTTCTTTTCGTAAATTCTTTATGTTGGATACCTAATAACATAGATATCTGTACACTTGAATAGATGTAGACCCGAAGTACAATAGAAGATTTATTTTCTAAACTTTAAGTCATATTGGCTCTTCTACGGCTTCTATTAATTTATGACTGTTCAAACTATTATCGATGGGGTGTATGTATGAACAAATGCCCCTCGAAAATATTCATTTGAGTTCAAGGCCGTTGATGTCGCACTCATCATTATCATACATTAGTGAAAGCCAGAGCGGCTTATGCCAATCTGGGCCATCTTTGGCGCCTTCGTGATGTTAGTCTGGCTGTAAAAGGTCGGATCTACAACGCGTCGGTGAGAGCAGTTTTTCTCTATGCTTGTGAAACCTGGCCTCTCCAAGTTCAGGATGTTGGACGACTCTCTGTGTTCGATCATCGCTGTCTCCGAAGGATTGCTGACATTCAGTGGCAACACCATGTCAGTAATGCAGAGGTTCGGCATCGTGTGTTCGGGCACAGAGATGATAATTCAATTGGTGTCACCATCTTGAAACACCGACTTCGGTGGCTTGGACATGTTCTCCGAATGTCGTCCCAGAGAATTCCACGTCGTGCATTATTTGCCGACTCTGGGACTGGTTGGAAGAAGCGGAGAGGTGGTCAGTGCATGACATGGTGTCGTGGTATGAAAGAAATCTGCAAAGGATTGGCTTCTGCCGGTCCTTCACGGCTCCCTGGTTGAGGTCCGAGAGATGGTGTTACACAGTGGCTAGAGACGTTATCAGATATGGCTCAGAATAGAAACCAGTGGCGATCGTGCTGTAACCTTCTTTTACTTTCTTCATAAAAAGTGGTTGTTCCTCCCTTACCTGAAAGATTTCTTCCGATTGTACCTTTGCGTTCCCTGATTACTAGCACATTACCTCACACCAATCTCTTCGTTATTGTTCTCTCTTTTTTTTTGTTGCGCTCCTTAGCTTTTTTTCTTTCTTTGTATTCCTCTCGAATTTTCATTGTTTTGTGTGGCGCATATATATTGGCGCTCTCTTGTACCAATATTTATGTGTCCAAATAAATAAATAAATTAATTAAAATAAAATAAAAAATACATTAAGATAAAAAAAATGAACTAACATTTAGTTGAAATTTGTTGTTTTTATTATCCCATAGTTATTACTTGTTCATATAATCCCTTTGCTACAGTTGTTCTAACGTTTTTGGATGTTTTATTTTAATGTTTACTTTCAGAGAAGATATATTCATCAGTTATAGCGTATTTCAAAATGCGCTGGAAAAGTTTCGATCATGTATTGTGGAAAATTATGCACAAGTAATTCCACTTGTTTTTCAACCATGTTTTTTTTCTTTACATAAACTACTTACAATTAATACTTTGTAGATTTTGCATTATTTACAGCAAAAACAATCACGTAGTTTAAAAGTACCATTCAGTGTGACGCTTCATTAATTTCTTAACATAATAATAGTAATTACAATAATAATAATTCATACCAGCTTTTAATAATATTGTTATTATTGAAAAATGACTATATTGATACGAATTTTCTCTGTATTATAAACATTTTGAAAACAGTAATGATCTAATGATTTTATGAGTACTGGAATATTTATGCTAATTACTAACTGATAACGTGCTTTTTTATTTTAAAACTATCATGTAATATAAAATATCACGTTTTCTTAGATTAAATTCAATAGCCTTACCATATATATTCTTCGGATAAAGTAATCAATTGATCACTTATATTAACAAACATTTTGAAGCTATTTGAAGAAGGATTCGAAACCTAATAGTCATATAATTCTTTAAAACTAGTAACAGAAATTTTCGCAATATTCAAAACTGTAGTTCACATAGTTTTTGGGTTTAAACTAAACTGTTGATTACTATGACTTGCTAGCAGTCTCAATTCATTTGATAAAGATTTACAACCTCACCGACCTATTTACTATCTTTACCTAGCGTTTTGTGGCTAACCTATATATTGCCCATTCAGTCGATCAACGATGCTCTGGCAATGTTTAGAAAACACTTGTAATAGTAATAATATTGGCAAATCAACAACTTATTCAATTGTTTGTCTGAGTAATTTTATAGATTCCAATTTGATTTTTCTATCATAGAATATTTACAAATAAACCTTGATACACAGTTTCATTCATATTTATCACGAAAATAATCCCCTTACATAGACCTTATCTCGAAATTCTCTTCGTAAAACACCTTAATTCTAAACGTTGAATATTCAAGTTTAAGTAAGGTGTATAATGTGTGCATTATGCATCAGATTTTTTTGTTAAATGGCAGTTTGTGTATATAACACAGTTTATATACGTGATTCAATAACTTTGTTTTGTATAATGTTCAATTCACTTAATCAATCTTATCATTAGTTGTATTAGGTGCCATAGTCAGATTGAAGTATTTAATGTTTCGAAATTATTATTGCTATGTTGCTATCAATGTCATTGTTATTTAATATAAGTTGTTTCATTGAGTTTTTACGTGAACAAAAAGACCTTGCACAGTACATTATTAGGTAAACAAATGCTCCCTTTTTCATAGATTAAACATATTTAATGTTGATAAGAACTAGTTGGCTTTCTTAAATAATTATTCAAAACAACTTTTGAAGCTTACATATGCGGTCAGTAGGACTTAATAAGTAGTTGCAATGATTGTAATCGGAATGGTGAAATTCCATACTTTATCACAAATCCAAAGATCATGTTCTGTTCAATCGTTTTTTCAACTCAATCACCTGATCATGTCTGATTGTGATAGCTTTTTTTGTGCAAGTTGACTTTGTTAATAGTGTTAACTCTGTTTAGATCATAATGTAGCATTGATTTTGTTTTACTAAGCTACACGTTATGAACATCTTAGAATGCTTATTTAACTTTTCAAATTAAATTTCCAAGTGAACTTTTCGACAAGTGTTTGCATATGAACCCCTTATGTACAACTAGAACTGGTTTTTGACTAACAGTTTAGATATTTTTTGGTAAATTTAGCAAAAAGCTAGGAATTATTGTTGGTCATTATCATGTGGACTGATTTAAATTTCTATTTGTACAGTGTTAACAGGGAATAGTGAATTTAGTGCTTGTGTAAATGTAAATTTTGGGAGGGAAGTTGCGATTGTCCACAATCTCAAAGTAGGAAAATGTGAATGTGTCTTATTCTCTGACTGTTAGAAGTTATCCTATTGTTATTAATTTCTGTCATAAATCTTTAAGGAAATACAAATAACCAATTGTGTCATTGAACAAAGATAAAGAGAATTCAGCGAAGTAAATCTTTTCGATGGAATCATTTACATTCCTATTTATAATTGTATGGTAAATGTATAAATCTATAGAAACATAGATAAGATTACACCATAAAGTGATTTGAGACTCTAAATATCTTTGCTGGATTCTCTTTATTTCTATCAGGAAATATTAAAACGTTACTCTAAGCGAAAAATAATCTAAATTAGTGCTTTTTAGGGGATTTTCTCATTTCATCCTCATGTATTAATTATTTGCTACCATTTTCTTATTATTTACTAATTTCTAGGTGGATAGTGAATCATGGTTAAAAGATGTTCACTGTGCCAGTTCAAGTTTATGTCAGTCAGTAAAAGCTGTTTTAGCAGCTGTCTGTTATGGTATGGCTTTTTCTGATGTTATCAATGCATTAGGAAACATACAAGTGTGTATAATGGATATTGTATATGATATTGGTTTAAATAATAAAGTAACCGGTTTCAAGCGTCACGATAATAAAAATTTTAACAGCTTTCGTAGCGATAGTCAACAGAATACTACACAGGAAAATTGGTTTTCATCATCCTATAAGCGAAAACAGACCAGGGTGAGTACTATTCAAATTCTATTATGCAATCATAGAATATTAGATTTGTCATACAAAATATGCTGCTCGTATATTCATTTATTATTCATGTTGCCTTGGTGTATCCAACGCGAGCATATCAGAAATCTTTTTACATGTAATGGTAAGTAATCGTTCAAATCGATTAGTTCAGAGACGTCAATTATTAAGAAATACTTCTAATCATTAACTTATGTTGACCTAATTGTCACTGAATTTTAACCAGCCGTGTAAATTGATATAATCTTTGTTTTTTAATTGTCCTCAATACATTTTATCTATTTATTTCAATGTGAAATCTCCAGACATCATGTATTACTACAAAGCATGTTACTGCTTGACGAATGAGTTGGAACACCGCATACTAGCAAATTATTTGAGTGGCTATTGGGTACATGTCCATTTTAATTTGTTGGATCTTCATTGAAGGATGATTCTTCAACTTATTAAAAATTTAAAAGTTACTCTTGTTTGATGCACTTAGCTTCTTTTAGTCGTAAATGTATGATGCACCCATGTGATTGTTGTTTTTGGACATAAATTTCCAAGTCAGTCAGTTAGTCATTAGTAACATGTGATTTAGCACATGTGTGCCCTGGCTCGATGTGTATACGCTTCATGTCAGCCGAGAGAAATAAGAAATCACCAAGATGAGCATATTATTTTAAATAATATCAAAAACGACGTAGATCTTAACATGAGAAATACAGTTCTAATCAAAGATTTGGCTTTGAGGAATGCAGATTTACAAATGATGTTTAACTAATGACTTAGAAGAACGAAGAGAATCAATGCAACTGCGCCACTGTGACAGAATTTCACTCTATGTAAGCGAAGAAAGTCATTTAATTTTCTTGTTGATATATTTTGATACAAGTCATCACAAAATGTGTAACGTACTAACATAATGACTTTCTAACGGAACCATAGAATAAGCAATGTTTCAAATCTTTTGTGACACACTTTATAAAGTATTTATACTCTAAAGTGGATGGATTCTGGTTGATGTCTGTGAGCCATTTATAGTTATTGCTTGAAAATTCAATGATGTAAACCATTGCATGAATGTATCTAATCTTCGTCCGATTTTCAACGTTCTTTATGAGCTTACACATTTTAAGTCCTCTTCACATGGTATTTGTTTTGCATTTGTTTTCTGTTTATGTGTTCTATTTGATGTCCTTTTTCTTTTATCTCTCTTTTAAATTTCTATTTCGTGTTCCTGTTTGAATTTAGACGGCGATACACATGTCTAGGGTTCTGGATTATTGTTGTAGAGATCGAAGGGTCTAATGAACGAATTTAGTGTCTTGTATTGTTGGACAAGTACTTAAAAAAGAAATACAATTTTCACTTTCAAAATTTATAAGTTCTCTTATTGGATAGATTCTATTTTTTCCAAGAAATATCGAAAGCAACAACATATATTACATCAGTTTGAGTATATTTTCAAGTACTGGGAAATCTTGATTCCTCAATCAGTTCAATAACCTTTACTGGAAGACTGTCTTATTTAGATTTGAAAAAAACTCTGTTACATTATACATATGTTTCTTATGTTTTATGGTAGATTTATGAAATTGCTTGTCTTGGTTTTTAAACTAATATTTCGCACCTACATTATTCACTATTATCATAGTTTTCATCGTTTTCTAATGTCTAGTCATGTCATATATATATATAGCTACTAGATCTTTCAAGGAACTTAATTGAGTCTGATTTCACGGAAAGTTGTATCAAGTCTGTTTCCTTTCACAACATTTTCTATTTTGTATAATAGTTGAGGTTTTCTTTGTATTCTCTGATCATAAGAGACTAAATAATTTAAGCAGTTCACAAAATCCTTATTACCAAATGGATATTTCAGTATTGAAACTAAATGTGTGAAACATTTTTACACAGATTTGAGTTGACATCACAAATTCACGAACTGATTATCATTAGTAACTATTACCTCCTTCCTTTTAGGTCAGGCGTTGGCGGAAATTGTCGAATTCAGTAGGTTTTATTTCACATATAGACCTTAGTTTGGCAAACAGTGAAAACCAGGGGACACTTATCATTTGTAGTTAGGAAAGCTTGAATAGTGCTCATACATGACTTTACCAGATATAGAATCGAAGACTCTCGTACATCACGAAAAGCATTTGACTTCTAAATCCTTGAGTTTTAATGTTTGTAGATTGTACTGTGAGGTCACATTCTAGGACAAAATAGCTGTCTGTTAGTTCATTGGTTTTCGGTGATGGTCTAACTGGAGTCATTTTATAGTGTGAAAATACAAACTGTTCTCTTTTCCTGGTCATTAATGCTGACCAAATAGTATTGCTGAGACGTAAATGTGGTTATTGAACTGTGACTCTACATTAAGGTACACATTACGCAATGTTATATGAAAAGCCATAAAACTAGATTTATTTACTGTTCCAAATTTGAAGTATCTTTGTTTTAGATTGACGGTTATGTTGGAATTTTATTTACATTTCTATATGGTTGATTGATCCGAATTTATCCCTTTCAATTTCTTCTTATTTCAGACTTCTCCAACACTTGTATCCAATCTTCAGTCCACCCTTAAAAACACAAGCAAAACACTAGTCAATTTAAAACGTGATATAAAGCCGCAATCAAGAAAGAAACTACATAATTTGATTTTATCGTTGACGAAAAATCTTCTCTGTCAACTAAGTGCATTTTTTATATGGCGTCAAGTTAATATCTCAGTAAATCCTCACTTAATTGGGAATAGTAATTTTTTATCCAATGGTGTATCGAATGAATCATTTAGTTATCTGACTAATAAACAGCTTTATCATACCAAAAATGGACGCCCTAAAGCTATGCTCATAACAGATGATGTTGATGGCGAATTTTTCAATGATCGTCAACAGTGTAAGTTGTGTATATGTATGTGCATTTGAGAGTATTGAAGCTAGTATTCTGTTGTTTCTCTATAATTATGTCCCATAACAAATTTATTGAAATGAACTTGTTTTATAATAGATTCGATCTATTATGACTTAAACTAAAGTCATCGAATATCTTTTAGCAGGTTACTTACGTCTCGTGGTGATGTATAAACAAGCCACCAGTGTTCTACATCAAACTCTGTCCTGAACAATTCTCTCCAGTTGTTCCCACTTGCTATTCATCCTTTTCATGCCTGCTTCCGATTCTCGGTTCAGTGTGTTCTTTGGTCTTCCTCTTTTCCGCTTCCCTTCAGGATTACAAGTTAGCGCTTGCCTCGTGATGCAGTTTGGTGATTTCCTCAATGTGTGTCGTATCCACTACTGCTACACTAGTCGTCTTCATCTGCATTTGTTAGTGTGTATGGGATAGAAGGGCCGGGTCATCTGCGAAGTCCAAATCGTCTAGTCGCATCCAACCTGTCCATTGTATTCCGTGATTTCTCTCAGATGTCAAAGTCTTCATAATCTGGTGGACCACCAGAAGAAATAGAAAGGGGGAGAGTTTGCAGCCTTGTCTGACTCCAGTCCTCACTTGGAATGCATCTGTCAGTTTTCCTCCATGCACGACATCGTACTGTAGTCCGTCAAATGATTTCCGGATGATGTTGGCGACCTTCTCATCTACTCATCGTAGTGTCGAAGTTTCCATAATGTTCTCCTATCCACACTGTCAAGTGCTTTCTCATAATCAAGGAAGTTGATGTATAGTGACGAGTTTCACTCAACTGATTGTTCAACGTTGATCCATGGTGTGACGATTTGGTCTGTGCACAACCGATTCTTACGGAATCCAGCCGGTTGATATTTGCGATTACCTCTGTATCTGACGACAGAGTTTCAGCTGGTGTATTGTCAGGTCCTGCTACCTTTCCACGCTTGATTTGTCTGATGACTGGCCTTCCTGATTCCTTCGATCGTTGGTAGAGTGACAGATGTAGAGAAAGATATGTGTTCTGTTTTGGTGTCCGGTGGATTCAATGGAGCTGGTCTATTCAAGAGTTCCTCAAAGTACTCTACACATCTGTTCCTCTTCTATATTACCACCTTTGACCTAACCACTGCTATGAATCCGGTGTTCATCTTGTGTGCTGATGCGGTATGGCAACCTGGACCGATGCACATATGTGCCTGGTTCTACGTTGTAGCTGACTGACTGACTGTTCCTCTGTTCTTGAATTTCAGTGATTGTCTTGCATTCTTTCTCCTTGACCGGTCTCTCTAGTTTACTATATTTTTCTGTTAGTTTCTTCGTCATGTCATATAGTTGTTCCATATGTCCTTCTCTTGGAGCTTTTTCCGCTGTCGTTGCTAGCTCTTCGATGAAATTTCTGCTTGTCGGCTCTAATGCTCTTCTTCACTTGTTTGTTTGCTTCCATGTATTCAGCTTGTTCATTGACTTTATCTGTTCTTGTTATTCTTTTCTTCAACTTTGCCCAGAGTTTTGATGGAGATTCATTCCTTATGATGATGCTTCTTGTGGTCAAGCATCTCCTGACACGTTGAAGTTAGTGATGCTTTGACCTCTTTCTAGTTGTCCACCATAGTAGTTCTTCCTTCAGTAGATCCTGTAAGGCTTGGAACGTGTTGTTGAGAGTTATCTTGAAATGGGCTCTCAAATACCCCTCTCGAAATGCTCTCACATGGCCACGCGTATACAGCCTCTGCCAGGGAAGTCCTACTCACTGCCTTCTCGTGGCGGGGGTGTTGTTTACGAAAATGAGAGGACGAAAAGCGAATGTCCGGCGCTTTAGCTGGATTCCAAATCATTGGTGCACATGGGCTCCAGTATCCTACGGGAACAAATAGCGTATGAACCGATCGTTGGTCACCGGATTCCATGGGACTGTATCTTCTCACGATGCTCCACTGCCTTGTGGATCAGACTTTTAGGCCAAAGGCTCGGGTGTGGCCCCCTAAGAAAACCACTTGCTTCGGTTTGGGCACTCGGGCAGTATCACAGCCTACACACAAATATGATGAAATGTCGATATTTATGGAAAATACTTGTCTTGCTTCGATTAACAATCAAACGACTCACATTATTCTTTTTTTTACGTCATTTATTCACTCTCTTTTATTCCCACTCTGTGTATCCTTATTTTTCGACTGATACAGCAGCTTGCTTATAGTGATTCTCGAGTCACTGCCCGGATAAAATTGTATGCTGCCACCACCGAATACTGAGGCAGTTTTTCTGAAACCACGTGCACCATTCAAACTAGCTGCCTTCAACGTTCGCATACTTATGCAGGTCGGACAACAGATAGGGCTGGCTATATCCTTGGAAAGTCTTATTATCGACGTTTGCCGTCTATCCAAGACCCGTATTCAAGACTCTGGTGAAGTACTACAAATTCGCACTCCATCTGTCGCTCCGGAAAGCTTGTTTTACGTGCGCTTATCCGGGGACCCTGTGGCATCTTCGGCTGGTATTTCTGGCGTTGGTGTCGCACTAAGCGCTAGAGCTGAGGCAGCACTAATCGATTGGATCCCCATCAACAGTCGGTTATGTGCTGTTAGATTAGAGAGTTCCATCAAAGTGTGAAGAAATCGGCGTGAGAAACGATGTCTTTTCGTCAACTTCGGCTATGCCCCAACAGATTGCAGCCCGGATGCAATCAAGGGGGAGTTTTACCACCAGTTATCTGTTCTTCTCCAGAAAGTGCGTTCGACAGATATTGTAGTACTAGCCGGAGACTTGAATGCTCAGGTCGGGTGTCTAGGCACAGTAGAGAGTCGTTTAGGTGGCCGTTGGGGACTTGTTAGTCGCAGGACAGACAGCGGGGACCGTCTACTGCAACTGTGCACAGACCACAACCAACTTCCTGGCTAACACTAAGTTTCGGCACAGTCATCGCCGATGTACCACCTGGCGTCCTCCATCTGCATCTCAAGGCTGGACTCAGATTGATCACATCGCGATCAGCTACCGCTGGCGTGGTTGTGTACAAGACTGCCACTTCTTTTAGAGTACCTATCTGGACTCTGACCATGCCTTGGTCTGCGTCAATCTTACCTTTTCAGTGGACAACGAAGTGACCGCCACCAACGGATTGATGTTAGCCAGCTAGTTGCAACTTCTGTTGCTAGTAAGTATCGAACCGAGCTAGCTTCTAGGCTAGCTACCACTCCACCGAAAAGTATAGATGAGCATAGGTTGCAATTGCATGACACCAAGAAAATGGCGAGTAAAGTCGCTTACGGCTTCGCGAAACGTCCTTCCTATAAGCACTAGGTTTCTTCAGGCTCCTTACGACTCATCGAGACCCGTCGGTCTACTACGGGTGACCGTGAGTTTGACCACAAACGAAGGGTGTTACGTAAGGAAATTGGGCAAAGCTTGCGTAAGGATCGAGAATAGTGGTGGTCGGAGCGTACTAATGAGCTGGAAGCAGCAGCTGTATCTGGTAACTACCGGAAGCTCTTCAACTCATCCGAGCCACTGGCAGCAAGAAGTCTGGTGTGAGCGAAACAATCTGTGAGGATGATGGGATGCCAATCACTAACATCCATCGACGTCTTGGACGATGGGCAGAATTTTTCGAAGGGCAGTTCAACTAGCCTGCTGCTCCGGCAACATCGATCAGACTGTCCTGCCCTCCATGGCCGGTGACGACCGATCCACCAAATGAGGAGGAAGTCCGCAAGGGACGCTATAAATCACTGGACCCAGATGGCCTACCTACGGCTCTTTTCAAAGATGGTTGTGACTTTCAGATTAAGGAACTGACGACGTTGTTTAAAAAGGTTCGGGAGCTAGAGAACGTTTCAACATTATGGAATGAGTCGATAGTTGTATTGATCATATCTTCACCCTCCGCCAAATGTTAGAACACCGTCATACTTTTCAAAGGCCAACAATCGTAGTGTTTCTTGACATCAGGGCTGCCTTCGATTTGTTGGACAGGACTGTTCTCTGGGATTGTCTCTATTGAAGAAGGGTGTGCCTGAGAAGTTTATTAACATCTTAAAGGCCCTATATAAAAACACCTCAGGCAGAGTGAGGGCATACAACCACCTTTCTCCATTGTTCCATTCGAGCAGTGGAGTTAGGCAGGGTCACCCAATCTCTCCATTCCTCTTCAACTTTGCCATCGATGACATTCTGGAAACAGCTCTGATGGATTTAAGTAATGGTGGTGTGGATCTGTTGCCTGAAGAAAGACGTCTCGACCTTGAGTATGCGGATGATATTGTCTTACTGTGCGATAATGCCCATGGCATGCAATCCGCACTTAGTCAATTGGCGATCAATGTCCGTAGGTACGGTATCTGGTTTGGACCTTCGAAGTACAAAGGTACTTCCACAAGGCTGACCGAATTCTAATCCTGTTCTCACGCTCGATGGTGAGCAGTTAAAAGTAGTTGAGAAATTCGTGTATCGGGGTAGCTGCATAAATGCTGGTGGTGGCGTGAGTGATGAAATCAATGCACGTATAGTGAAAGGCAGAGCGGCTTATGCCGATCTGGGCCATCTTTGGCGCCTTCGTGATGTTAGTCTGGCTGTAAAAGGTCGGATCTACAACGCGTCGGTGAGAGCAGTTTTGCTCTATGCTTGTGAAACCTGGCCTCTCCAAGTTCAGGATGTTGGACGACTCTCTTTGTTCGATCATCGTTGTCTCCGAAGGATTGCTGACATCCAGTGGCAACACCATATTAGTAATGCAGAAGATCGGCATCGTGTGTCCGGGCACAGAGACGGCGATGCAATTGGTGTCACCATCTTGAAACACCGACTTCGGTGGCTTGGACATGTTCTCCGAATGTCGTCCCAGAGAATTCCACGTCGTGCATTATTTGCCGACTCTGGGACTGGTTGGAAGAAGCGGAGAGGTGGTCAGTGCATGACATGGTGTCGTGGTATGAAAGAAATCTGCAAAGGATTGGCTTCTGCCGGTCCTTCACGGCTCCCTGGTTGAGGTCCGAGAGATGGTGTTACACAGTGGCTAGAGACGTTATCAGATATGGCTCAGAATAGAAACCAGTGGCGATCGTGCTGTAACCTTCTTTTACTTTCTTCATAAAAAGTGGTTGTACCTTCCTTAACTGAAAGATTTCTTCTGATTGTACGTTTCCATTTCCCCCATTATTATTATTATTATTATTATTATTATTATTATTATTGTTATTATTATTATTATTACACTGCCGTACACTAATTTATTCTTTATTGTTCCTCTTTTTACACTCCTCTCCTTTTTTTCTCTTCGAATTCTCATTGTTTTGTGTGGCGCATATATATTTGGTGCCCTCTTTTACCAATATTTATGTGTTCAAATAATAAATAAACAAAAATCTTGAAATGGCTGCGTTTTTCAGTATCTTGAAGGAAGGCCGTGTTGAACATTTGTAATGTTGTTTGTCCAGTTATCCAATGTTTCATTAGCTTCAGTTTCATCTTGGACACAACAAGGTGGTGATCTGAAGCTATATCAACTCCTCTCCTGGTTCTCACACTTTCCACTGACCTTGTGAATATTTTATTGATTCAAATATGATCGATCTGGTTGTGTGTGGTGTGATTTGGATAGACCCATGTAGCTTTGTGCATGCGTTTATGTGGGAATATTGTGCTGCCTATAACCAATTTGTTGAATGCATATAGGTGTGCAAATCTGTCACCACGTGACAAAACTACCAATCAGAATATCGACTTCTATGACTTTGTCCCTGAGCCAACCAATAGGAAGACAACCAGCACTAGTATCCTTGATTCACTGCTAAGTCCTTAGTGGCCCTCGTTACGGTAGCTTATCGCGCTGCCTTACCTTTTGAGTACAGAGCACAGTAATCAGCCTCCACTACGTGAATATTATACTTCAAACATACTCAGGTTATATGCAAAAATGCACGACCACATCACACCATAAAATGAATAATAACAATTATACATGATCATTTCAAAACGTGGCTATGATTGAAGGAGTTTATGAATAATAAAACTGGCAACAAACTAAGAATAGCATTTCATGCATCTGTAGTCAATGGGTTCATCAAAAACTTATGATGAAAGGAATATAAGTATAAATGATCTAGGTACTTAATATATATATCGATAGATAGATAGATATAGATATAAATATACTTTATTGGTGCCGTACATTAGTTATTACTATATGAGTTATGTCCATGGAATATTAATATTTCGGTCTTGGTCTCAATCGCCATCACTAATTAATTTAATCTCCGAATTGCGTACTTTGTTTATTTGTGCTTCATTTGTGTCCCGATAATTTTTGTCTCTTACATCACTAAATTAATTGGTTTCTCAGCCAATATATTTTAATTGTGATGAGCCTTTATCACAGCAAGAAAGTTTCTTTGATCACTTTTTGTGAATAATCCATTCATGAGTTTGAAAAATAGATTGTGTTTAACTTGGATTTATTATGATTCAGTTTTCCTATTTTATGTGGAAATAAGCAACCAGAAAGACGAGATTAAAAGAAGAATATTGTGCGCATTCAGTGTAAATTACTTTGTTCAATTATCTGTTCATATAGACAAGAAGAACTTTTTCCAAGCAATAGTTTCGCCTTTGTAATCGAGATAACTACTGTCTAAATTGCGGATGTGCTATGCTTGAGGAAGTTACAATATCATCTTGGACCGGGAAACGGAGCGAAATTCAGGAACACAACAACAGGACAAGTTGAGCTATCCCAATGCCTTCCAGCCTTACTAACTAGAGAGAGGGTATCAGATTCAGCCTGGAAAAATACATATTTCGGAAGCACGAACGAAAAAAACACACTTCATGCGTTGTATACAGCGTAATGCCTTACTAAAAGAGGAAACGAACCAATGACATTTCAGGTCCTTCCAGGTGGAACATACAAATCGAAGGTAAAAGTGTGTTCTTTTGGCGCGGAAATCAGAAGTTCAAATTTACATAATAGAACTACAAAACGGGACGTTTGCCAAGTAATTTTTGGAGCTGTAACATCCCCAACAAGTTGATTACACCAATTTAATTGGCGATTTATAATTCTTTGATTCCATCAAGGTTTCAACTACACCAAAACTCAGTATACCAATCGTTATCTGCAACTGGCTAGTGTGGGAGTAAATTTATGTATGTGTATATGTTATTTTGACTGATTGAATTGCCTTATCGAGTGTTTTGAACTTCCCGTCAGTAAATTATGAACTATATTTCTCTTTCCATAGCTGAACAGAAAAAAGAAGTGAAAAGTTCCATCGATTGTTTGGATGCTATAGTCGTTGGGCTTATCGCTATACACAATCCTCCACCACGTAAAACAATTGGAGCCTATAATTCAAATGTAATCAGTAACAATACAACTGGTAATTCATCTTTATCTAGTTCATCATCTCCTAGTCAAACCAATCCTAATACATCGTCAACGAGGTAAATTATTTTCACACAAATTAATCAACTTGTTCAGTTTATATTGAGTAGGTTATCGTCAGAGTTTAACTGTTTCTACTTCTTTATAATTTAAACTTCTGTGCATAAAAATCGATTTTTCGTCATTGTGTTGACTTTATTAATCATGTGTTATTTATTTAATCGTTAAACTTTTTATGTGTACAAAGGTGCAGTAATTATTAACATACTGCCATATCAATCTCAGATAAATTGTTTTCTAAATATGAACTTTATTTTAAAAAGAAAAGAATCCAACTTATTATGTGCATATTCTCTTACATTGTTTCGAGCTACACTCTAGATATATGTACTAGTTATAATATTCGGATCTCCAAACTAAAGTAGATTATGTTCATCAGTTATTCATTTGTTGAAAGGTAGAAAGCTTTTTCAACTAGTTTCAGTGATGAGTATATTTGGCAGTTACGACAATGGTCACAAACAAGATTTAATCCTCTCAGACCTTTTAGATGACATGTTAATTCATTAAATAATTTGCCCGTCTTGAAGTAAATCTGACTGTTTAGTCACTTTTAAAGATACAGTTTCACGTATTGTACTTCAAATCTTCAAATATATGCTATCAGAGTGAAATTCGTTTTTGAAGTTCATATATTTAGCTTTGATAACAATAGTCATTAGCCTAAAAAGATAACAGTGCATCAACTCAATCCTATCATCACAATTGTTTTATTAAAGAGAATTTTAATATTTATCTTTTGAGATGGTTATTTTATTTGCTTGTTCATTTTAATGACGTTTAACCAATTCAATATTGGTTATAGTCTTTTGTTTTGATATTACTGAATTATATAATTAGGGCAAATTTACTGTTGGAAAAAAATTAGTAATCTATCAAGATGATTTAAAATTATGTCGTCTAGTTTACAGTATTCATAAAGTTCCCTCTTAATCGAATATTTTCAGTTGACTAATGTGAATGTGAATGTGAATGAATGAAATTGCGTGATGTTAGTTTATGGTGCATTTTACGTGGAGTGTATAAAGATCTTTACACTTGAAGATTAGAATTTTTTCAGGTTAAAATCACTTTTATCAATAAAGAAATGGTAAACTGAAAAAGCAATAGATGAAATTTTTATGTGAAGGTTGACAAGATTTTCTAATATTAATTGACTAACTGTATTCAGTTCAACTGTAAAAACTGAATACCTTTTATAGTTGATCAAATAGTCTGATATTTATTCACACTATCAATGAAAGTGATCATTTCTCAGTTTGTCAATTAATTCCAGAGTTATACGACTTTCGAATTCACGTTAACGATAAGTTCGTTTCACGAAAAAAATTGCGTAAACCGATGATATTTCAACTTGTAGCTGGATAATGGTATCTATTTACTCCTAAATTGTCAAGCATAATATCTTAAGAGGATTGAATCTAAGAAATATGTGTTCATTCTTTATGAAATAGTGATAAAGTTTCTGAATATGTTAATATAAATATTCATAGTATCACATCAAAACTTGAAAGGCGTTAGATAGTTGTGGTGCATACACTCCTGATAAATGTCGTTCAGATTACTTCGAAAGTACTATTGCGTTTACTTGGTTTTTTGTTTTCTCATGAAAAATTGATTGAAATCCAACGTTCCTTTCTACTCCTATGAGTTTTCATGACGTGCCTTGGAACTAGTAATTTGTTCCGAATTTGTTTCATATGACATTCATTCCTCTAATTTTCATCTTATTAATTCCCTATCGTTGTATTAATACGACTTATAGCTAGTTCTTTCGATGCATGCGTGCATAAGACTCTAATTTGTATGTGACTGACTCACTACATTTGTGAGTTTTTGGATTATTTTGTAAATTTTTATCAGTTCAATCAATAATAAGCAATGTCGTAACGATGCGTAACGATGTGTATTTAACATCGATTCAACATAAATTTTTCAGCCAGATGTAATGACACGAGCACAATAAATCATCTGATGAATAATTTCGATACCATAGAATTTATTTGTCCGACTATAACTTTTATTAAAAGACACTTATTCCGATAGTTCTCTGTCTATTTGAAAGCTGATTGTTTATCTTTATTACAATAAAATCCTATTGTCTGTTTGACAAGTCTCAGTTGTTGAATTTACTTTTCTAATATCCATATTTTCCAGAACAGATGGCTATTATTGTGTACGTCTTGGTTTAGTGTACGCTGGACGACCACTAAGCAAGGTATATCCCAGTGCATTGACTACTCATCATGACAATATAAATGATAATCATTATAAATCATCACCTTATAAAAATCACGCGAAGGAAATTTCTTGGACTAGCAATCATTTATCACGTGACAGTCAAAATAAATGCACTAGAGATTATTTCATCAGTGATCCTGGTCGTTATCAGACAATTCAATCCGGTTTTCCTAAAGTTTTACAATTTGACCAGTGGTTTAAATTCCCAAGTATGTTTAACTTTTGAAGCATAATTCTATAACCGTTTTTTTAAGAAAACCAGATACGAGATCCAATCTTAAATTTCTTTGACACTACAAGTATTGTTTAGCATAGTGGAGAAATTTGAGACATTTGATTACTCTCCTTAAAACTTGCAGATTTCCAGTCAAACACAAGTGTATATCAATACTATCCATTTGACACTTGACGGGGGGTTAACTCACTTCCGTGAAATATGTTATCAGGTGTGGAATCTAAGTCAACGGAACAGTGACTTCCTAGGTTATAACACTCCATTTCTAACCAATACATTGTACATATAAATAATTCTCATTGATCACATTTCTCACTGGTCTAATGTACCAAACTGTTTCAATATCATACTTTTTGTTTACCGAAGAATCGACCATGTGTAAAAACTTTTACGTAAAACTCTTTAAGTAAGAGAATGTATCGATTTCATTCCAATTCCTCACATAATCATAAAATCTGTATAGAAAACAAAATAAGTGTATAGATTATAATTATAATTAACTATAATTATGATTATAATTATAACTAATAAGTGAGATACTGATAATCCAATTACGAAGTCAAGATGTCAATGGTGATATTATTTACCATATCTTTATGAACTATCTGTTAAACTGACCCTTACCTAACTGGTTTACTAAAATATACTGTCGTTGACCTTTCAAATATTACAATGACTCATTTAATCACGTTCACTTCACACCAAAGATTTTGCTTACTGTAAAATAAGCTGATCATTATATTAAATAATTTCAGTTTTAAAAATAATATAATTTGACAGTTATCAACTTTTAGAAGTTAGAAAGCATGTTTTTTCCAAGTTAACATATAGTATGGTATGGTAAGTTAAGAATATGTAGCTGAAATCATGTCCTAAAAATGAAAATGAAAATCATTCAATTTACAATCGGATTATAAGTCAACCTGAATCATAATTGGCTTTTTAATAATAATAATAATAATAATAATAATAATAATAATAATAATAATAATAATAATTCTATTCAGTATTATACATTTTGCGATTTAAAACTTCTCGGAAAATACCCAAGAACAAAAATATTAGAGCGAACGATCGTTTTTGATAACTTCTTTGTCAAGCTCTACAATTATAAACCCAAAATCTTTATTATTATTTGAATTGGTTCGTGTTTTAAACTGAAAAGGACAACTTTCAGGTAAATTGAGTCTTAAATATTACAAATTAGTGACAAAGCAATATGACATTATTAGTAATGTGAAGAAAGGTTCATACATAAAAAGGTAAGAAAAATTATGTCTTAAGGTGCAAATAAATGGGTTGAAATCGTATGTAGAAAAATTAATACAAAATGGGAATTGTTGTATCATAGTTATGATGATAGCGATAATGATTGTAATTATTGTAGTAATGATATAAAGAATAATTATTAATTACAATATCATGTAAAATAGACAAGATGAATGTATAATTAAGAATAAGGTAATTGTCTTAGAATGGAGCGAAATCAGAGCTAAGAATGAATTTATCCTAATGTAAGCCAAGTTAACTCATTAATACTTTTGGAGAGTCTGATGAAAATGTTACTGAATGCGATTGTTCACTCTAATACTCTTTGTTGTAGTACGCTTAGTACAACATAAAATTCTTAGAGTGTAGTATTTCAAAAAACTCCCTTCACTCTTCGTAGACCTCACAAGATGCATATCTATTCATTAAAAAAAATAGGTAAATTTTTGTAAGAAAATAAGTATCTTTACAACACTAAATAATCTACATTTTTAAAAGCATTGCATTTTGCTTTGATCAGCCTTTTAAACCTGTTCGTCATATTGTTTTTATGCTAGATACAATATAATGGAACTTTTGTACTTTCATTTGCGTACATCGATTCTAGTGTGTTTGTGTCTTGTTATTTAAAGAATAATAATGCTAAGAACACATAGCCTCTTCAGATAACGTCAGAGGAAAAAACTTTCGTATTAACACAACATGCGAAGGCTAGAAGAATTCTAAAACAATGCTTACACCAAGATGAATAAAGTGTGATATAGTTTTTATGAGTCTCTAAAATTAGAAAGTTATACAATTCCAACAGAGTGTTTAGTTATATTTCATCCATGATTTCGTTATTCTGCCTCAGTGTACACTGTTTTGCTCAGTATTTATACATAGGTGATCTAGGCGAGATATTTTTTAAAATTTAAATTAATAAAATCGATACTAGTGGTTTGTTTTCATGAACTAAATTCACTTTATACTTTCACTGTTCAACAGCTATTTTACGGAAATTTTTACGTCTATCATTTTTAATGATTTTTTGTATCCAATCATAAGTGTATTTCACCTGACTCATTAGTCCATTTATTTATAAAACTACGCGCATATATATATATATATATATATATATACCTCATAATCAGTTTAACTGTACCCTGTCTATAATGTATTGTGTTCATCATGCGAGTTTGTTTATTTGTTATTAATAGTCGTAACTGTATTTTCTTTGAAAAGAGTTCAAATTAATAGTGAAATGTTATGCTATCTGTTCATAACTATTTCGCTAAAATTTCATTCAAATTTTTCTTGGTGTTTTCATTGTGATTTTTTATTTGTTCTTCAAATACATTTACTAGTTTTGATGTGTGTTTCAAGTTAAATTACAAAATTCAGTATTGACAATCGATTGAATGACATCACATGAACGATTTAGCTGTACATTATTGTCTAGTAACGAACGTTTGTTTTATATCTGAAACATAAGTTCTGTTCTTCAGCTCTGAGATAATCACTCAGAAGATATTTTTCATCATGAATCGTTATCATATTTAAAAAAAATATTAATAGCCAAATAGTATTTCTGTTTCATAATAACCGGAAACTTTTCAATAATAGTTCCTGCTTGGAAACTTAAACGAAATCAATTTTTACACCGTTTTTTCATAAAGGTTCTTGTTATGAATTTAAATTGTTGTCGATTTCTACCCTGTGTTATCGATCGATTACAATGACACGCAAACACGTACGGACGGCCTAGAGTCTCGATTGGTCCCACTTCCCTGTCTAGCCCAGTCAGTTGAGTCCAGAACACAAGTCACAGCCTCGGGGATATGAATCACTATATTTCAAACATACTTTGTTTATATACCAGTCAAGCATACCACAGCGTACCATAAAAATAGAAAACAACACTTTGTACAAGTGAACAGATATCAACCAATGGGAAATGTTCATTTAAAGTCCAAGGACACCATTGGACTTAACATGATAATTATTGGTCTATTCCTGCGCATCCACAACAGTTCTGTAATTTCTAGGCAACGTTGTCAGTATCCAAGACTCTACATATTGAATTGTAGTCAATCAATGGAATAACTCAATCCCCAACAGATGTTATTGATAGTTAAAAGTGTGATCCAGTATCTTCCTAACATTAGAATAGTATGAATCTCTATTTTTTTACAATTGTTTATATAATCAAACACTGACTCATAATACGCTTTCGGCAATGTTTTCAAATGTAAGAATTTCAGTATTTGCTTATTGATACACAATTACAGCTTAAATAATTGTTAAGGTGTTAATGGTATTTATTGTAGACAGTTGTCTTTTTCTTTACTAGCAATTAAAATATTCTTGATTAAACCTAATTTATTTTTTATTAATAATCGGTGTCAAAATATTATTTGATTATGGACAAATATATATAATACATGAACAATATTATTTATTTTCACTACTTATGCAATTCTTTTTATTGTCCATTTGTATAGGTTTCACTATTAGTCAACTTCCACGAGAAGCAATGTTAGCTATTAGTTTATTTTGGTGTAAGAAATTGAATACGGACAATTCTGATGGTTAGTAGATATGATGAGATATAAACTAATAAATACGATTTGCACGTTTATATTTTATATTCACTTGAAATTTTTCATCATACATTTGCGAAACTACGTATAATGGTTTGTGAAACCAATGGTTTAGGAATTATCATGAGATCTGAGAAATGTAAATAGAATTCCTGGTTATGTTATAGTTGCTGCAGTGTCACAAACTGGGAAAAAGCACAGCCCTTTTTGATATGAATTCTACTTTATTGTCACCACTTAATGGGGTAACTGATTGTTGGTGATGATCCAGAAAACCCGAAAAAGCCAATAAAGGACTGAAAACACTGAGAAGCATCTTATCCAATCAGCATTTGCTAGAACTTTTGCCAGAAACGTCTAGAAAGTGAAAAGTCACATGTCGAGTTAATGATCACCAATACTTTTACTATGTTTAGTAGCGTTCTAGAAGTATCTGGAAACCCAAGGCCATCTAAAATACTATAAAAACCCTAGACTTTCTGTACATAAATGAATCTTTGGAATAAAACGTTTCTTCCATATTTCGCGCCTTTTCTTTCGTGTTCAAATCGCTGAGTAGATTTAGCCTGGGGGTTTCTAGAAGAGCTTAGGAACCGTATCTAGCGTTCAAGCAGAAGACTTGCCACTGACTTATTCAGTCCACTAATGATGAGTCTTTTTGACGTTTCATAACATTAATTACTTTTACTTCATCTTGTCATGTTTATACAAATTGTCCTTACGTGATCTGCGCAATTAGAAAACGAAGAGTCGCTGATTTTCCATGATTATTTTCAATAAATACTGAAGCCTTATGTTTTTCTTACAAAATGACCAGATGAATGATAACATAATCGATCGTCTGTTTTATTTGGACGTCATATTATGTATGCTCAGTCAGTCAGTCAGCAACAACGTAGAACTTCGTAAGTAATTACGTACATCAGTTCGAGTTGCCATACCACATTAGCACAGAGATGTAATTGCTGATTCAAATCCCATAGTGGTAGAGGCAGTAAAAGTATGAACTGTAATCGGAGAGATTAGGGTTTGAAGATGGTATTCAAGGAGTATAATCCAGTGAAATAAATTTGGAAAGAGGAAAAAAAGACACGAAGAATTCAGAAGATTGTAACTTTGGAGAACACAAATAGTGGATGCACCTGTGTCATTGCAAACGATTTCGAGCCATGTCATTCAAGGTCTCTAACCATCGGTTACTATCATCTCGTGGGTCTCAACCAGGTAGTCTACACCTACGAACATGACTCAGTCCACTTGTCAGTGACTTCGTAGATTTGTGCCATGTTTTGGTCTGGTCACCCCTAGCTTTCTTCCAACCTACTCCTACACCAGAAAACATCGCACTTTGGGGCAGCCGGTGGTTGGGCATACGTAACACGTGTCCCAGCCATCTCAACTGATGAAGTTTCACCACTTCATCAATCGATTTGCCATCTTTACCTGGTACCTGTTTCCTAACAACTGCGCTACTTACTCGATGGTCCCAGGATATACGAGCAATGTTTCGAAGACACCTATGATCAAGTACTAGTAACTTACGAATATCCTCTACTCTTACCGGCCATGTTTCACTGCCATAAAGTAGGACGGAACGAACTGCTGCGCAGTAAACCCGTCCTTTGGTTGATAGACGGATATCTCGCCTACGCCATAAATGACGCAAGTTGGTAAAAGCAAGTCGAGCCTTCTGTATCCGTGTTGAGACTTCGTCACACACCAGACCACGAGAGCTGATGAGACTTCCAAGATAAGTGAAGCGGTCGACACACTCAACTACTTCACTCCCTATCACTAGTTCGGGTGTCGATGTAACTCAATCCTGAAGCAACATTTTGCATTTCGAGGGAGAGAATCGCATCCCGAACATACTTGCATTGGTGCTTAGAGTGGTCAGAAGACTATGCATTTTGTCAGCGTCTTCACCAAATAAAACTATGTCATCAGCATATTCTAAGTCAACAAGTGAACCTCCCGGTACAAGTTCAACCCCTGGAAATTTAGATGAGGAGAGTGTTATCTCTAAAAGTACGTCGACCACAAAGTTGAACAAGAATGGGGAGAGTGGACATCCCTGACGAACACCACTTGAGGTAATCAATTCTGATGACAGTTCGCCATAAGCTCTCACTCAACCAGTTGTGTTCGAGTAGAGAGCCTTTATAAGGCTAATGTACTTCTTTGGTACTCCTTTCAGTGACAAACACTGCCGTAGAACCTTACGATCGACAGAGTCGAATGCTGCTTTAAGGTCGAGAAATACTACGATTGTGGGGCGTCTGAACGTGTGTCTGTGTTCTAGAACCTGACGTAGTGTGAATATGTGGTCTATCCAACCACGTCCAGGTCGAAAACCAGCCTGATTTTCTCTAGTCTGCTCTTCACGAGATTTGGTTAGGCGTCGAAGTATTATTGAAGCTAATATTTTAGACACTATATTAGTCAAACTGATTCCTCTGTGACTGTCACAAGGGGACTTTTGTCCTTTCTTATAGACTGGCACAATCAGTGATTGATACCAGTCAGGTGGGATTACGTCCAGTTCCGAAATTCTACCTAATACCTCAGTTAATCTCACTGTTAATACTGGACCGCTATCCTTAAAAATGTCCGCCCAGTACTGACCACACATTGGTTAAATTCGGAAATGATATTCAAATTACAATTAACTGAATGAATGTTCACGGTGAGGTGTAAGAATTTCATTTTCGTGTTGCATGGTGTTGAGGATTAACTCTGTTTACCAGCGTCATAATAGTAGGTGGAAATAACTTCAAATTGCTTCATATTTTCCGCTTGTGTTTCCTTAGTTGATGTCTGTCTATGACGAGTTAGTTTTCAGGCTGATCTGTTCCTCTCAGTGCTCATGAATTATTTGGTTTCAGTGGTTTACGCTCATAAAACGGTGTGTGTAACTTTTTCTCCTATATTATAATTGTTTTAATGAAATATATTAGTGATGACTGGTAGTAGTCTGTAAATCACATGCTAAACACTTGTTTAGTCTATACAAATACCTACAGAGTTCTAAATTATCTTAAAGCTATAATATGTATCTGATGTTTTGGTCAAGTATTATGAATTCAAAGATTTAGCATAATTCTTTAGTAAACGATTTCCTAGGATTTTGTTAAAGGCTCTGTAACAATTAGGCAAAAAGTATCTCTTGTGCAACTGACATATACCTATACAGGTTGATATGTTTTCCAGTTGAATGTTATTATTACATAGAAAACTAATTAAACTCTATTATAGTTGACGGGACGTTAATCGGTTGGGTGAATTTACCATTATTCGATATAAATGGTCGATTAAAACAAAACACAATGATTGTTGGTCTTTGGCCACCATCTGAATTAATGCATGAATATCGGCCTACATGGTCCCAATCAAATAGTTCACCAGGATGTCCAGTTGTACAGGTAAGATGCTTTCAGTGTTGTTTTATTCTTACTTAGTGCATCAATTCTTATTTCATTAACTCAGGAATCTGTGCTTGAGTAGCATATTACATGCAAGCGACTTAGACTGTTTACCTTGAAGCTGTATTTTAATGATCTACTATTAAATTGTAAATAATGTATATAATTGTATTTCTTTGCTTATTTACTATTATTTGATTGTAGCTTTGTTTTCCTGAATATCAATATGAAATTGAATTCCCTGTCATTATCCAATCGGAAAGTGAATTGGAGAACTCTAATGAAATGTAAGTCTTGTTCGTGTATATCTTGATCAATCTAGTTCCACGTTAGTGGATTACGTTTATCCCTATAACTCTACTGACTAAATGAAGATAAATGATATTCATTTAGTAAAATTAATCCCTATAAAAGTGTACTTTCTTTCAATATATAACAAAAATCATCCTATTATATTCGAAATTTATATTTTATATTCGTCCATGTATTATAGACTTCTTTCTTATTATACTTTTGAGACCATTACTTACAACTGTAAAATCTCGCTTTCAACTATTTACATAATATAAATTTAAATACTTTTGGATAAATATGTAGATATTTTCTTTTCTTTTAATTCATTCTTACTGTTATAGATCTCTAATATTTGTCAAATATTATTGTCTGAGTTCAGAACAGTGTTTAACTAGCTCATGTTAGTCTATTTCAATAGATAGATGCTTCGAAAAAGGACACATACTGTGTAAATTACAACATTCAGCATACTTTTCTTTATAATCTGAATGATATGTTGATGTAATTTTGGATAATTGTTTCGTCATAGTCTGTAACTTATCAGTATTGCTTATTCAATATATCACATCAAAGCTGAACGGTAGTAACTTAGGTTTTGTGTTAAGTGTAACATCTTGGAATCCAGTGGTTCACAATGTTATCAATATCATTTAAACTGTAATTTGTACGTCTTGTATCTAGTTTTTTTTGGTGTTGCGTATTGTTTTAAAAATTGCGTCCAAGTCATGTGCCAAAATGCTATATGGTGATATTAATTTCATTCGTGTTTTAAAGTGTTTTCCTACATATTCATAAAACAAATAACGTTAAAATGTGAAATACACATGTTATAATTCTTATGAAATCATATATGAAGTAGTTTTTTTTTCATTTCGCAGACAAGTTTCATCGTTTCATTCACTTTGTTCCGATGCAAAACAGTCGATAAATGAAGCTAAATCTGCTATTTTCATGCAAATATTAAATCCAGAATTATCATTTAAATCTGTTGATGGATGTTTAATGGCTTATAGTGCAGCATCATCATCAGTGCATCTATCTAAACGACAAGAACGTGTCCCAATCCCTGTCTTACATTTAGCTGTACTCAATTCTATGAATTCATCTTTTAATCAGTACAACGGAAATGTGATTGGGAATATTAGTTGCAACAGTGGTATCAGCGGTAGTGGTAGTGGATCAAGTGGCCATCTTGGCAACAACTCTAATTCCAGTAATAATAATAATAATAACACTAATAGTTGTAATAGTAGTAATAATAGTATTAGTAATAATTTAACAACATGTAATATCAATTCAGTCGCTTGTTATCTACCATGTCCACCTGCAATCGCTATTGAAGTTTTATGGAATTTACGTTATTCTATATGTGATGTACCTGATGCTATGATTGCATTTGTTATCAGTTGTCCAGTTAGTTGGCCACAAGCAACAAGACAGAATTTAAAAAGTTATACAGATAAATGGTGTTGGCAAAAATTACTGAAAGAAATATACAGGTGATTGAAGTTTGGTTTATTGCTTTTTATGTATATGAACTTTTCAGTGTTTAATTTACTGAATGTTAGGGTGTACAAAACTTATCGTAATGGTTAATATGTAACAATAAGGTTTGTACTGCCTAGTAGTCATGTGAACCATACTTTTTCTAGAAATCGACTATTAGTATATATTCGATTCTTGGTCGATACATTACCACTCACTTTGATATGGATATATCAAACCTGGGAATCTTTGATTCAATTTATACTTGTCAGTGGACTATGTTTTGTTGATTATTTACCTGTGCATTTTTACTTTCGTTGAGGTATTCTCAAAAGCAGTTGTTTATTTTCACTTTGGATAATCGGTATTAAAAAGTTCTCAGATTGGTAATCTGAATTTGTTGTAACTTAATAAATATCGACTACGGACTTGACGTTAAGCCAAATTTCTTTTGTGTCTAGCGGTTTATGAAGGTACTTATCTGGTCATCTTAAAGCTAGTTACATACCGTTCAAAATATGATTCGTAATATAGCGGTCGGACTACCAAAACCTTCAATCGATAAATTATCATATTCTACAACTAAATATTGAATTTTTCTCTCATAATGAACAGTTAATTAAAGAAATGTGGCTAGTTTTTCTTCCGATTAGCGTGCAATTTTGTCTAAATTTATTGGATTGTCAACCTGTCTATACGACTGCGAGGGTCTGAATTATTTTTAGTGCTTGTAGTCACAATTTTATTTCTTATCATTATCAACTTGTAACTCTGTTTTTCTTCTCATGAGAAAACCTTATGCATAAAGAGAACCATCAAAAATTGGAAAAAAATGTTTATCGCCATACAATTCCAATAAATACCCCATAGGTAATATAGTTCCCACCATATTAACCCATCTGACTTGATATCTCTCTTCGTAAGTCGAAATACGTTTTTATCAGTTAAACGTTGATTATGGCTGATTGATGCAAACTTGACTATAATATCCATATTCGTTTCAATCATTCAGCAATACATTTAATTTTTGTATAACTTACGTACATAACTGCTTATGCTTCATCAGTCTTTACTTCTTCAATCTTTGCCTCATTTAAGTCCATAAGGACTGGGAGATTAGATCTAACAATTAGTGATTCGACCACCTTGTTTAAATTTTTTTGAATACCTTAGTAAGTCGAATCACCTTCTTGACTCGTGTACTGAATCGCTATTTGAAGGTATTCATTTCATTTCCTTGCTACGCAACGACGAATTATAATTCATTGCAAAACTGATATTTTATTCAAGTTAATATTGTTTTACTTCTTCAGTCTTTTAGCAGTCACTCCAGTACCTTATCCTGGTCTCATTCTACGTCTACTTTCATCGGATGTTGCAGATCAAGGTATACGTCATTGGGCTACTAGAGCATTGTCATTACTGTCATCAGATAATCTTCTTTTATATCTTCCTCAAATAATTGAGGTACTTTTAATTGTGCTCTATTTTATTGTACTATGTGTTTGTTTGATGGTCTATGTTGTATGCTAGAATGCTCTGTATCAAATTCAAAATTGTTAATAACTAGTACACTTTTTACGTTTTTTTTATTCGAAAGGTAATCATTCTTTATGAAAATTACAAAACTTACCATGGTAAATATTGATATTCATTTAGAGTACAACTTATTCCTGCAATAGCTAGGTTGTCAGTTGATATAAATTGCAATAGTTGGATGTACTTACGATGTAGATGAGTGCAACCGGTGTCACCTATACCGATCGACTGACTTCAATGTGGTCAAGTTAAACAGCCCTAGGGATACATTTTCACAGGATGTCGAATTCGTCTAGACTCACGATAAATTATTGTTTAACGTTTCATATGTATTGACTTATTAATCAGATTATCTAGTATTCTTCCCCCAATATTAATAAGAAATCCGAATGGTATCACACATGGAAATCTAGGAATATCCTCTTTTTCTTATTTAAAGTTAAGAATATTGTAGTTGAATCGACAGAAATTAACCGTTCATTTAACTAAGAATGTTTGTATGGTTTACAATATATAGTTATAGTAATTTACTATTCAATTGTTCAATGATGAAATGTAGGGTTGGGTTGTAACAAAAAAGTTTTTATTTATCACTATAATACCTAACTATCATTGTGTTCCAATGAATGTTTGTTTTGCCATGAGGGTTTTAGGGTTTGTTAAATTTTAATATTTTTCATCATGTCTTGATCTTAATTAATCAACCTTTAAAAATCAAGAAGCACTAGACAACGTTCTCTTCTTAGTCTGGGACTCAACATGACGCATCAATGACTTCCCCCCGGTATCAATCCTAGGACATTCAGTTCGCATAGTGAACACTTAACTTTCAAATCTTTAAACTGACAATGATTTTCATGTTTAATTTTTATTAATTTTTGATGATTCTCAAACATCTTTCAGTCTTTTTAGTTTGCATCTGCCTCATAACCGACACGATTGTACTTTAATGATCACGACTTCTCTACAGAACTCCAGAATTAGCTTTTGAAGTTCGCTAACTATGTGCACATGATTCTCAACTGTTGTCGAGATAAAATCCGTCAGTGATGTAACTTACAAAAACGTTTGTTTATTCTCACCTTTTGTACGTTTGTCTTATTACCAAACTTTAGGATTGTGGAAGTCAAATCAATTAAGTTATTTGTCAAAGTTACGTGTTCCTAAGCTTTCACGTTTCCTTATAATAAAAAGTGCTATCAGAGACTATGAAAAGGTGCACTGAATGTCATGGCGATCAAAATAAGAACTGTCAAGGTAAAAACATCGATATATCAGTTCAGTTAGTCTGTCTGACTGATTAAGTCTTTGGGTTGTTTGAAATCACTCCATAAGTATGATTATATTTATTTTTTATTTAGGTGCTAAAGATTGAATAAGAGGTTTTTCAGATGTGTTTGCACTAAATTTGTGTACTTTGGTCTAAATTGTTAAAGTACGAATTCCAATACCTGAAATTGGCACTATGTACCGTTACTAGTATGTCATATGCTTCTGTTTAACTCTTCACCTTGTGCTGTTAAAATTCCTGGTCTTGAGCACTGTTTAAGACTCTGAAGTTTATAATATGATTCCTTTGTCATTGATTCATTCTTTTTAAACATTTTATTGAACTTTAGCCTAGTTATGTGTCGCTTTCATCGATCTTGCTGGGTGTATAGTGTATTTCATATCCAAACAAATTATGATTACAATTATCCTTTATAAAATACTTCTGTACTTTACATTTCATGCTATTTATCAACTACATAGACTGTACTTATTAGTTTTTCAATGGAAGTTATGATTTTTATGTATTAAATTGTGGCCTTATTTTTTGTCCATGTTTGATTTTTGATGTCTTCTTCAAAATAATTTCCGTATCCTTCCAATTTGTTTTCCTTTTAGGCTGTAAACCATGATTTATACCTTGATTATTCTGGTTTAGTAAGTTTACTCTTATATAGAGCTGCATTTTCAATGCGATTCGCCAATTCTTTATATTGGTAAGTTATGAATAATAAGAACTAATAAATTATTACGTTATGTAAACTGTATGGTGGATATGTTGTACACTGATGACAAATGGACGAACCCCATCGATACAGTTACAACGAATCGTGATTAAGCCAAGTATAAGGCTTAAATTGTGAACTTTTTAGATTGTCCAAGAATTTAAGTTATCGGTTTTACCGAACGAATTCATTAAATGATAGGATCAAGTTACAAATTAAGAATAAAGTACACAACGAAAGTGTATTCTTTTTAAGCATCTCTGAATATAAACTAGATTCAGTCAACAGTTATATCGCAAATTTTCTCATAATAACTAAACATTGTCAATACTAGTTAAAATACTCATGTTGAATTGGTTAACTAACTGGTCATCTACAATTCCTTGAAATGTTTTAAAATCAGAGAAAACTTGGAAGTACTTTGACTAATTAGCATTTTCGTAAAAATTCTAAAAAAAAACGTTTAGGAAGTGATTGATTTTAGTTTCGAAATTTGACTGTACAGTTACCAAATATCTCAGTGACTTTAATATCATTGATTGAAGCCACTAGAAAACCAGGATCTTCTAAAACCATACATATATATCTAGTTTCTGTACATCAACTATTTTGTCAACTACAACTTTTGTCATATCTTCTATTTTCTGTTTTCCGTCGGGTTTTCGAGAATCAAGAAAGGTTTAGTCTATGAAGGGGCTAATGTGTCCGTTCCTAACGCTCTCGGTGCATGTGACGGAATAAGCAGAAGCAGTCATACTTTTTATATTTATATCTATAAGTCGTAGTAAATGCTCTAAGTGTTTCAATTTTTCTTTACATATCCATATTTTGCCTTATGTATTATGAAATATTTGAGCAATAATAATAATGTATATACTGAAAAGTATTCACAAATTTTTTGCCGGTTTTATAGCCACAGTCTTAACGACATAACAAAACATTTATGCATTAAGTAGGTGTTAGTTACGGTATTTATCAGGCCATTATTCAGATAATATATCAAAATATGTACAGTCACTTAATTAGTATTGATTAAGAGGTCGTACATCGTTGGCTATTCATATGAATCAGTAGATAGCATTTGTAGGCGGACAATTAATTAAGGCTTTCATTTACACTAATTATACCCGGAATTCGGATACAGTCATTAAGATGCTTGTATCTTGATGAAGTACTATTATACTATTTCTACCATTAGATCAGGTTCGTCTCTAATGAATTGGTGATTCAGAATGACGGAGGCGAAACGAAGAAAATCAACAAGATCATTTTAGGTGTTTATCTATTTATGTAACATAAAGGGGTTCACCTATTCATTATTATTTTTATGTTGTTGTTTTGTAAGTCGGTTAAAACGTATTTTTGAAATTTTTTTCATTTTCACGACGGAATACTAGTTATTTGTTGGTCTTATTTACACTGATATGGAATTCCTTTTAATGTTTAAGGTATCTTTATCCAATGCTACATCATCCTCAACCATTATCTGAATGGAAATTACAACGTTTTCGTTTTATTCAAGCCGCTCTATATTGGAATGCAAATTCTAGACTACATGCTATGTGGAAACGTCAAGAGGAAATGATTAATCATTTGTCTGTAACTGGTAAATATCTATACTTGACCGTTTTTCGAAATTTTACTCCTCGGTTTGTTTTTATTACATATTGTCTATGATCAAATATTCTGTTATTTTCTTATCCTAGTTTGATGATGATGATAATCGTAATAAGAAGTAGACTTCCAGCAATTCATCGCTTCGCATTATCTTCACATGTTCCTGACCAATAAATGAAGATATGATTTAAACAAATATTATGTTATTGTAGGCTTCTACATTTTAGTGTATATTGTCATATCTTTATTTTTTGATAATATGACACGCATCACTGAAAATAGTATGTGATTTCAACGGTATGTTTATTTAAATAACTGTCGATCATGATCAATTAATCTTCATGCCTTCCAGGACTGAATTAGTGATCAAAATCGTTGATTGACATTGAAGGTGTAGTTTCTCATATACTCTAATTGCTAGAAATGTTATTGAACACTTATTGTAATATTTATATTCGGTGTAAACGCGGTATTATGAAGATTACATGAACATATAGATATATGTAGAAAGATATGTAAGCGTGGAAGTTAATCTATTAAGTTTTCCAATAAAACAAAAATCCTAGAGTTTACGAGGAAAATAGTTGAACTTGCATATTTCTTAAATTAATTTTTGGTTATTTTGCTGTCATTAACACTACTAATGAAGCACATGTTTTGATAACTGTAGTGGGTTAAATTTTTGTCCAATTGACCAACTCTTATTCTACTCCTTATGCAGCTCTTCTAGGGCTACTGTCGGTCACAAACCCGGGTAAAGGTGGAGAGTTGGGCGTGGAGTCTGCAACCCCATCTTATAGAAAATAATCTTCCTAAAAAACACTAATTAGAATAAACAACTTAAATCATATAAAATCTGTCTTCAACTCTGTCCTCAGAGTTGAAGGAAGTATTATGATGTCTCATGATAAAAGTGTAGTATTTGTTTTCTTTTTCTCGTATGATATTTTATTCCGTATAATATACGATATTCTTGTATTCAATTGACATGAACTATGCTCTATATGTGATTTGTTATAACTGAGTATTTTTATAAATATGATTTTATCCTAATTTTTAATCAAAGTGTGTGTACGATCAATATATAAATAAGTGTATTTTCGACTAGGGTCGTCGTTGTGTTTTGGGGTTAATAAGTCTTCACTTAGACCAGTCTTTGTGTTCTTACTTTCGCGTCGTGGGAGTTGCAGAGGTCCCTTGTTTCGAGTATAAGTGATAAGAGTTTCCGACACAACAATCAGCGACAACCAGATATAACAAGTGGCATTCAACTGACAAGTTTTAACAATTGGCAACGGGGATGGGATAAAAAACTCTGAACCCTCAATTTTTAAATGAGCGAATCAAGGTCAGGCTGTAATTGGACGAAATTCAGTGTAATTATTTCGAGCAATCAGCGTACAGGGTTCTCTCCGGTGTTCTTGAACGACATTGATTGTTAATTTGAAGACTGAGGGTTCAGAATTTTTTATCCCATGGAAAAAGCTGCAAGAGAAGGAAATATGGAACAACTATATGACACGACGAAGAAACTAACAGCCTATGGTCCTCCGTGAGGTGTAATAGGCCTAAGTGAGTATTCTATGAAACTATTAGTTGGTTAATTGGATTTCGTGTAGAATGATTGCTGTTTTATTAAGAATTCATTCATTTTTGTGTTTTTTCTTAATGCCTTCCCCTGTGTGTCTTTGGCAACCAGCAACAAAAGTTAAACAGGCTCGACCAAACGCTTCAGTTCGTGAAAATATTCTTTATACGCATCTAAAACGGTTTATGTCTGAACTCTCTAAAAGCTACCATGATATATCGTCATCATCATCGCACATTGAAACAACAGATAAAAACATTTCAATGTTACGATCCAATTCTTGGGCAGATGATCAGTTGATCAGTGATTTCTCCAAACTAGATTCAGAATGGTCAAGAAACAAATCTGCCGATAATATTCTAAGTGAATATCAACTATCCCAATATGATCTTGGCTTGAGAATGCCATATAACCCTGGACTAATAACTCATAGACTTGACATTACTGTAAGTCATATTGTTCAATCCTTATTTTATATCCTTTGTTCGGCAGATTTATTATAAACATAATATTATGACATTTCAGCGTTAGATGATGATATATTTCATTTTTCTTTCCGACTGTTTCATAACTTTCGTCAGTGTTCCAGTTAGTTCCATAGAAATCTTTTGTAAAATCGATTAGCTGTAAACAATTGGCATATGCTTGTTATTTTATGATTATTGATTTGGCATAGTCATCATGTATAACCAGCCGGCTGTTTAGATCTAACATTTCAATGTTATCATGACAGTTCTTAGTTTTAGTTATCTGTACGGTGTGGAGTAGTTTTAAACCAGGATATCTCAAAGGTTCAATGTATTTTTTTGGTTTTCAATGTTTCTTCGATTAGTTTTAGACTATGTTACATGTCACCCTTAAAATGTATAAGCTTTACCTCTTAAAAAAACTACATTCATATACATATGCATATGTGTAAATGCGAAATAGCCAGATATAGTTTTGATTCATTTTCAGTGTTTTCTTTTCTTTTTAAGGCTTGTTCTTACTTTACATCATTCACTTGTCCATTGAGACTTGTATTTCATGCATTGGATGCCGGTACTGAACCATTTATGGTTATGTTTAAGGTAAAAAAATCTCCTTGATACTTATTATGGTTTTTTACAGAGTTACTTATTTGATTAATTATTCATAGGATATACCTATGTATATATAATTTTATAGTTTTATAAATTTTAGAATTATCACACACAATTTTTTCGTATTTAAATTCTAACGAAACCTGACTTACATCTCAAATTTAATATAGACCATTAAGCATGTATATATTGTTGTCGTTTGCTCATATCTGTGTCGTAGGCCCAAGGATACCACATTAGACTGAAAACATATGGTCTCGTTACTATGTATGATGATCCAAAATCCTCTCTCATACATTATACTTATTTACAACACTTTAGCATTCTAAACTCATAACTCCGCCATGATGATACATATCCAATTTTACTGTTATATGTAAACTTGACGATTATTTCGATTTTAAAATATCGTAGTTTGTAAGCAGCTGATATGAAATCAGATGAATTCACGTTATTCTACCTAGTTCTTTGTTCTTGCTCTATTCAAGATAATATGTCTTATTAGATGTCAATACTACTTTAATAAAAGCTAAGTCTATCTACTGAACGTTTCCGAAAATCTGTTGTGTCTAGTCGTTGCAAAAGATTTTATGAATATTATTAACTATTTTTTCGATAAACATTTAGCAATAAATCATGGTTGTTTTGTGAATTTGTATCTTTTAACTACTTGTGAGTAGTTAAATTTAAGGTTTTAGAAATTTTGAATGAACTGAACATTTCATTTTATGCTTCTACTTTCTGAAGTTACAATTGGTTCGTTGTGTTAAGGTTCATTTTTGTAAATGTACGCGCAATATCTCATGCATATTAGATTACTTCATAGTTTTGTATAAAATTTTTATCCATATCTAGCACACTTGTCTTATGAAATCTGGAAAATATCATGTCGTATGTAAAAATCAGAAGGCTATGAGTCGAATGGGTTTCCAAATAATTTTTGTCGATTGTAATGAGATTCCTTTGATTCAACGTTATTGTTATCCACTGATAGTGTCAATAAATATATGATATGTCTTATTTTTAACTGAGTGTTACATTTTATGATAAAAGATAGGAGAGATACATATCTAATCTAGTATAATCAAATTAACTAGAATTTGTGCATGTATTCATTCACCAGTTATTTCAATATCAAATAAACAAAACTAGTGGATGCTCTTTTATTATTCCTTGTATCATGATGTTTAGCTATTGTGGTTTATTTGTCAATCTATCTATGTTATTATTTTTATTGATATTTTTAATGGATCAATGTTAAATCACCATTGAAAACCTAGAAGTACTGGACGGCCGTTTCATCCTAGTATGGAACTCCTCAGCATTACGCGTGGCGATCTAACATTGATTGATTCATGTTCTCACTCAAAACTCAACAATCTTCACAAGCCTATATTGATAGTTATTTTTAAATTTATTTATTATTATCTCCAATTTTTTCATTGTGTTCTCGTTAAGGTTGGTGATGATTTACGCCTGGATAGTTTAATCTGTCAGCTGACTTTTCTTATGGATCGAATATGGTTAGATGCTGGATTAGATTTACGCATGATTCATTTTCGTATTCTGCCAACCGAAGAACAAAAAGGTTTTATTGAATTGGTAGGTGCGAAAACAGTAGATTTTGTCTCCTGTCTGATTTTTTTATTTTGACATGCTACATAAAGTTCATTGACAGACAGTAACAACGTAGAACTTCGCACGTACGTATGTACATCAATTCGAGTTGCCATACCACATTAGCACAGAAATATAATTGTTAATTTCAATCCCATAGTGGTAGAAGTAGTAAAAGTATGAACTGTAATCGGAGAGATTAGGGTTTGAAGATGTTATTCAAAGAGTATAATCCAGTGAGATAAATTTGGAAAGAGGAAAAAAGGGATATGAAGAATTCAGAATATTATAACTTTGGAGAACACAAAGAGTGGATGCACCTGTGTCATTGCAAACGATTTCGAGCTATGTCATTTAAGGTCTCTAACCATCGGTTGCTATCATCGCGTGGATCCCAACCAGGTAGTCTACACCTACGAACATGACTCAGTCCACTTGTCAGTGACTTCATGGATTTGTGCCATATTGGATGATGAAAATCCATCATATATCATCTTTGGTTCATTAATGAGTGATATGCGAAACTAATTGTATTGAACTAGTTTTGATTAACTAAATCAAACTATCAACATCCGTGAATCTATATTTAACTGTATAATTTATTGTTCATCATTTACTTGTACGTCAATCAGCCTTATATTAGATTTTATTTTGTGTGATGGATTCAGAGCATTATGTCAATTCAGACTGTTAGTGTGTCTCAGATGTGAATGGGTCTATTTTTCACTGTTTTCTGGTTTTAAATGACTTGTCAGTTATCGTCAGTGTAAGTTTAGTAAAAATCGAACATTTGGATAGTATTCATCGACATTAGTTAAAGGATAATAGATTATTAGGAAGTTCCGCTTCTATTTTGAAACTTGTTGATAATTTGTCTATCATGGATCGATGAATTACAGGTCTCACTATACTCGTAATACCGTTCGATCATTAAAGATATAACCAAGCTTTCCACTTGAGAATCCTATGTTTGATCCTATTTAGGGATATAGATTTAAAATATCCTTAACTAGGATGAAAACTACCAAATAATCTTGCTTACTTTTAATTAGTTTTGCCACAAATTCCTCTAGTATCCTAGTGAAAATTGATGATCATAAATGTTGCTCGAGTCTGAAGTAGAACAGTAACTTCTTGCAGATGTTGTTGGCTGTTGAATCATCTAAATAATTGATTGAAATAAAGAATCTAGCTAATTATACTTTAACTCATTGATATGAAGGTATCATACTAATTATGATAAAGAAACTCGATCTCATGATCAAACTGATAAAGAAGTTTGATAATAGAGCTTACTAATATGTTTAATAGCCCTCAATTTCTGATAATTTTATTATCCGATAACCGTTTGTGTAATTTATGTGGTTGACTCTATAAGATATTGATTGATAATATCAGTGAATTTTCGTATTTGCACACAGAGTATGTTTGTTCAAAATATATGCACTCAATAAGTGATCTGCCTAGTTTTACATTCTTTATTACAGATTATTATGCTAAATGCATTCAGAAAAAATAAACTATTGTTTTCTGTATATTTCTTATATCAGGTTTCAGAATGTAGTACACTTCGACAGATTCAACAACAAGGTGGTGGTTTAACTGGACCTTTCAAAGAAGGTGTTATCACGAAATGGTTGCAATCACAAAATATTACTGAATTGGATTATAAACGAGTTAGTTAATTTAATGAACTCAATAATGATGATTTACTTATGTTAACATTGCTATTTAATACATATCAGATGATTTACATTGTCACTAAATATGAGGATTTATACTGGTAAGATTTATCGAAAGTAACCATAGTATAGAACTTTTGACTATCACACGTCCAGAAGCGTCCCTGCTTAGTATTCAAGTGCATTTATAGAATAAGAACTATAGAAAAAACTTTTTCACTCAGTCAGTTTATCAAATCATATTTCAATGTTCACTAGTAATCTGTTCAAGGAGCATTGTTTTTTATGCAGGTTTCATTTTGTTAAAAATAGTTCTATGATGACATAGTTGACTACTAGTGATCTGGATATACAACAGCTTATCAATATATTCATTACTCACAATAGTACTAATGAGATAGTATCACACATTTTTGACACGTAAACGTATTCTTTTATCATCAATACAATAATATCTATTTGTCAGCCAGAGGTTATCAAGTTTGACGAATTTCATTGTAATCATGAGCCGATGTAACTCAGATCACCATTAAAAAACTGGAAGCACTGAACAATCGTTTCGTCTTAGTACGGGACTCCCCAACAGTGAGTGTTCACGGCCCACATGATGATAGATTTCTCTATTTCTAATCCATCGACTTACTTATGCTTCACATTGCATGTTGACATAATTTCTCTCATGATAATGTTGATTGATTACATTAGTGATTGTTTATTATTTTTTCTATTATAAAAAGGCTTTAGATAATTTTCTACGTTCATTGGCTGGATGCTGTGTAGCAACGTATATACTCGGTGTCGGTGATCGGCATAATGACAATATTATGATACGTTTTTCTGGCCATGTATTTCATGTTGATTTTTCTAAGGTATTTGGAAATAGCCAGACATTTGCTGGTATTAAAAGGTTTGTAAATATATGTGTACATATTATTTCTCTGTTTTTTTAAGATATAATGTAATTATTGAGTGTTTTTTTTTGTATTACATTGTCTGTGTAGAAACTCAAGATGAGTGTCATCCTACGGTTGGTTTAGTTAATTGGATTCGAGCTGGTTTTGTTATTTTAAATTGATTCTTTGGTGATTGAATTTCTCAATCCTCTTTTGTACTCTCATTGAAGAATGTTTAGGTAGACAAGGGATATAATACTTCTAAGATAAGTTATTAATTCTAATTTCTCTTCTTAAGAAAGGAGAACATATGTGCATGAAAATATAGATACATGGAATAAAGCAAAATAAACACATCTGTGAAACTTTCGTGGATCAAATGCCATATTTCTCATACTAGAACGAAACAGTTATCTAATACTTTCTCTTTACAATAGTTCTGCACTTGGTGCCAAAACAGTATAAACTTTAATTTAAACTAATCGATAAAAAATAGGACTGAAATTCTTTGTGTAAGCTACAGACAGTTAAACGGGTATACATTATGTCTTGTAGGTGTACTCCTCTCCTTGTGATGACTAAAAATGTCAACAGTGTTATGAAAACGGTAAAAAATTATTTTCAATAACTTAATATCCAGTTATTTGAGTTATAAATCTATTAATTTTGTTTTATACTAAGCAAAGTATGACACATACGTGAGAGTTCTGACTAACTCAGACGCTGCTATACATCACGGCTTACGTAATTTCCTGTTATGTGGTTACTAAAGTTGAGCGGTCATTAAATATGAGGAGCAGAAATAAATAAGACAGTGAACTATGATTATTCGATTTAAATTATAGAAATCTAATGCAACTTCAGATAAAAAGAAATGTCTTAGTAATGCAAGAACATTCATAACCATACCATGTGTGTTAAAATCGTTGATTAAATAGTAAAAAACATTTCATAGGGAGACGAATATGGGGTTTAGGGTAGGACTTTGTAAATTGTAGTCAACAAAACGAGATCAACTTTTGGTTATCACAGCAAACAAACTAGCGAACTGATTACCTTTTCAAAACACAGATTAAGTTTCTTCTAAATGATATCAATGTCATAAGTTATCACTTTATTAGTAAATTATCCTGTTTGGTATTAAGTTAAGTGAATTCATAAACATTATTTGTCATACACTTTTCACATGTATCCATTAGGAGTTCTGCTTCATCGAAATCTCTTTACATTCTCAGCAAAATTGATTAATTAGCATTATATAATCAGTTATTTGATTTATACATTATTGCATTAATGACCAGTATATAGAATGTCCTATTTGTGTTTCCCTTCACCATTATTTTCCGCTTATGACATATGATTTACTATTTATCAACTTTTTTTCACAGAGATCGTGTACCTTTCGTGTTGACACAAGATATGTTACACGTGTTAAATACTTATTCTAAAGATGTAACAAATTTACCGTATGGTGTAAATAATTCATCAGGATTTGGTTATACACCAGGTCATGGGTCTAGTCATTCACAACAAGGTGTACAAATCTTTATTGACAGATGTTGTGAAGCTTATAATTTACTAAGACATCGTTCATATCAACTTATTTCATTGCTTGAATTAGTAAGTGATATGAATAAATGTTGATAATATTTTATTTGAATTCCCGGTATTGTCTTAACTGTTATGTGGTTGAGATTATGTTGTCTAGTTTGATGTTATATTTTTTCCGTTTAAAATTGAAAACCTCATCTCGGATAATAATTTAGTATGGTTAGTTGGAAATCACTATTAAAACTGGGCAATACGAATTTAGCTGATTTTTTACACTTTCCCAACCCAAATATATCTAATCTTATTCAGATTATGGTTACTATTGGGAGCTAGGACTCATGTTTCGTCCTATTTAGGGCTTGTCACTTTGACCCATTTCGACCTATGTTTGTGTTCCCACTGAGACTTGAACCCAGTACTTGTCGTTCCATGCCCCAACATGTTATCTACACGTCAATCCACTCATGATGAACATATATTAATAGATGTTAACCACTTTTGGTTTTTAATATCACCAAGAAAAAGATGCAAACTCTGACAAATAAATATGTCGATTTTTGTTATCATCAATCTTAAAAATGTTACAGTCATTTTCAAAGGATTAATAGATGTTTAACAGTTATGCTGTATCTTCTAATAACTAGATCCATTTATATGCTACAGTCTTGGTCGAAGATGACTTGGAATTTGAGTAAATTTTCCTATACTATGTGCTGAGATAACATTAACTGATGCACATATGTGTTAGGTTCTCTGTTTGTTATAACTGACTAAATCTTTGTGGTATAATTATCACAGTTTTTTTTATCCCTTACACCTGTTATTTATCTCTTGATTTGATTTTTTTCTTCTAATCACAAAGAGTTTATCAATGAATATACCAGGATTAAATCGTGACTGTATTCGATTTGTTTTAAGAGCATTACGATTAGAATTGAATGATCAAGAAGCGAGCCAATATTTTACTGAGTAAGATAAGAAATATTTCTATTATTACCATTATCTTTTGAATTCCCTTTTTCTTTTTTTTAAATGGTCCATGTGAAGTGCACTATGATGATGAATTCATTTAAAAAGTAGTTCATCAATAAAATGATCTGGGGATCATTTTGTAATATACGGACGTTTTCTGTCTGGTACTTGCGGTGGCATCTAATTGAAAAAAATGTGTCAGCCGAACTTTCCATATAAATGAATCAGTGAATTTCCCTTCACTAATTGATCGCTGATTAGTACCCAAAGCCAATTAAAAATAACTAAACAATAAGGCATGTAGCAACAATTAATGAGAGTTAACAATTAGAGGGATATAAAAATACAATTATAGAAGTATTTAATAATTATATAGTAAAAGTATAATATTGATTTTCTTATGATAGTTCTGTAAGTCCATTATTGACGACCTGCTTGGATATCTGGGCCACCTGTTCCTGTCATCCTGATATTTCAACAAGTTAACTGATTTTCTTTGTTTTGACATATCATTATGTCTATTACTTTCATAACCTATTCAGCCACGTGTATAAAAGGTTTATGACCATTCGCTGTAGAATTTACAAAAAAGTACAATCAGAGACATCGTGGTGACTGGCAGTATGCATTGAAAATAATGAACATCATTCAGATGTCGTTTCCTGAACTGCTACGATCTAACTGGTGATCACTCAATATTTACTGTCAGGATCGATCATAAAATAGGAAAAGGAAACTTGTTGAAATACATTGTGCTGAAAATTCTATATTATACCAAAAATGTAATATTGAATAAAGCCATTAATAATAATAACAATAATCTTTCACAAATCCAAACTAATATATTGGTCAAATAATCTCATTCATGTATAATGTTCAGTTGCCATTAATTTACAGAATACTCATCGATAAACTATACCAGCAACTATGAAATGCAGGTTCATGGCCTTTTTTTATACAGCTTCCAAGTGTCTTCCTATTGCAAAACATTCATTTGATTGCTTTGTGGAATGGAAATAGAAATTCGTATTTATTGAACATGTACGACAAACTAATCAGTCTTCTAATGATAATGATAGTAACGTCATTAGGGATCGAGTACTAGGTAAGGATGGCAAATCAATTGATGAAGTAGTGAAACTTCATCAGTTGAGATGGCTGGGACACGTGTTACGTATGTCCAACGACCGACTGCCTCGACGTGCTATGTTCAGTGGTATAGGAGTAGGTTGGAAGAAAGCTAGGGGCGGCCAGACCAAAACATGGCACAAGTCCATGAAGTCACTGACAAGTGGACTGAGTCATGTTCGTAGGTGCAGACTACCTGGTTGGGGACCGCGAGATGATAGCAACCGATGGTTAGAGACCCTGAATGACATGGCTCAAAATCGTTTGCAATGGCGCAGGTGCATCCACTCTCTGTGTTCTCCCAAATTCTAATCTTCTGAATTCTTCATGTCCCTTTTTTCCTCTTTCCAAATTTATTTCACTGGATTATACTCTTTGAATAACATCTTCAAACCCTAATCTTCCCGATTACTGCTTATACTCTTATTACCTCTACCACTACGGGATTTGAATCGACAACTGCATCTCTGTGCTTATGTGGTATGGCAACTCGAACTGATGTACGTACGTACGAAGTTCTACGTTGTTACTGACTGACTGACTGAATGATAGTAACGTAGATAAAGATCACTGGTCGATTTACATTTTATTCGTTTTCGTTCCAATGACTCACCAATTCTTTCTCGTTTTATTTTTTTTAACTAATAATTTTTAACAGATTAGTTCGTAAGACTTTACACTCAAAATCTTCTAGTCTGAACTTTTTTGTACATGGATTGGCTCAAGTTAAACAAGCTTCTCATGGTGGAGGTGTTTCTGGCACAAATACAAATGCATCTGACAATAATTCCCCTCCAATCATAAACAATCAATTTGATAATCATTGGAATACAGATAATAATATGAATAATAACAATAATAAAAGAGTTAACAACAATAATTCAAACATTAGTGGTAAATTGGTTAATGATTCAAAGACTCGATCCCCTCCGACTATAAGTAATTCCCTTTCAAATTACACTGGAACTGGACAAATATTTAGTTTTAACCCGAAACGCTTCACGTAAGTCTTCTCATATAAATATTATGTATATGTTCGATTAGAATACTAGCTCAAAAACTTTAAAATAACGAGGATTCCTTTCTTGAGTTGTTATTGGTCATAATCAAACACTCTGGGATTAGTTGATGAGAACATTAAATAAGTCGATGTTTCAATGTTGCTTCGTTTTGAATATGGTAAAACGTACTTATTTGTACACTTTCAAATGTTTCCTCTATTTCTACGCATTAGTTCGTTTGAAACAATCTACACTAAAGATTCATTTTAGTGAATGGTCTAATACTTAAAGATTTCAATCATTTGTGAAAAAAGACATTTTAAGGAAGTTTTCTACAGTCATCTCTCTTTAAAGTTGTAAAATCATGTTGTTGGTTACTAGAAAAGAAACTGATATTCATTGGATCGGAAATACGTTTCATACTCTGTCTCGTTCTTCTAACAGAGTTAGATCGTTGTTTGTTTTTCAAATCTCAAATTTTATCAAAAAAGACTAAATTAAATCTCAATCGAAAGAAAGCATTCCAAAACCAAGCCTGTGTTCTTATAAAGTAAACTTGTACTTTTCGAATGGGTATCCTTGGATTAGTTTACTGGGATATGTAATATAACATCGAACTGTTCTTTTTTCTTCTTATGACAAAATAAAGAGGGATTTCTTTCTGAAACCTTTTCAAGCATCTTCACAATAGGCTAGGCTTTGAATTATGTCTTTAGGTATTTGTCGTTCTACAACATTTTTTAAATGTCATTGATATATTTTCCTCACCAATTCAAATGAATGACGAGAATAATTCAGTATACTTTGACTCAATGAATAATTTCTTTAATCTTTTTTAAAACTCGTCCAAAGTTTTCCTTTTTTTTCTCCACAAAAAAGAACGTATTTGAAGAATAACATTTCTTCATCAAATTCTTATCATATATTTTCACCAGACATAGTTTGTCGCCTAAATACTAACGTTTACTACTTCTGGTACCTTTCATTTTAAGTTGCTATGGTTTTACTTATGTATAACTCCTTATGAGTGATTTGATAAGCATAATTTATTTTTGAGAAAACCTAAGATAATGTATTCTTTTTTGTTTCATCTATATATTGGCAATCGGTAAAATGTATAATGCAATACAGCGAGTCATTATTCTGCTAAACAAAACAATTTAGAACAGTACATTTAACTATGAAGCGATCAATCATTTTATCTAATTCATACTCTTTTAAATTTAAATCAGAACATTTCGGCTAGATGATTAATGTGATGATGGGCTCATAGTTGTATGCTTGTTATTGACATTATGATCTGATACAACACTCGAATAGTCAAATAGAACTTAAGTTTGTTTACCATTTTGCTGTGGTAGTTTGTGACAGGTTCTCAATTTGGAGAGAGCCTATTGAATAATATTTCCATTTCCCGTTTTTCTTCAAATTCAGTCGCATTCTTTTATTCGCAATTAAATAAGTTTTAGGTAGAGTTATGATCGACAAGCAAATAAACGTTCCTAAGTGGGGAATGGTTTATTAGGAAAAAAAATACTTTATGTCGAGGTACGTAAAAAAATATTTTTATAAATGCTACATCTAAAATGATACATATTTTTTCTTAGTTCTAATTTTGACGTTTTTGTTTAAGTAGGAATAATGATGGACACTAGTTTACGACTTATACACATCTAATCTACTTCGTGTATACTAATGTTTATTAAAGCCTTAGCCGTACGAAAATCCAAACCCCCTTTGCGTATTCAAAAACGATTAAATGTAAACTCGGTGATATGAAGTTATCGTACTATCATTGATCCATGTCTCTGAGATGTCACATACTAAAACGAAACAGTCAATTTTTTATGATTGCCTACCTGAACTCGAACTGAGTTTACAGTTTGTAAAATATTTTATGAAGTATTCTAATACTTCTGGATATTTTTTAAAATATGTGTATATATCATCTTTCAGTTCATCTGTAATTCATTTTTCTATTGCTGAATTACTGTAAGATCAATAAAAATACGAGGCATCAAATTATTCATTGCCTTTTAACTATTGTTAAACTAACAATTTCAAAGCGTATTTTGCACTTGATTGAATCAAATGTCTAACCTTATCAGTAGTTAATCGTTTTATCATTATTATTATTATTATTATTATTATTATTATCTAAAGATGATTATACAGATTTTTTTCTAGAAAAATAATTGAGGTCCACCTTTTTTATTTTCAAAAAAAAACAATAAGTTAATAATTATTATGATAATTTAATAATTATGTTAGCATCAGAGTGGTTGAACGTCATTGATATGATGTAAGGAAAATTTTTGAAAAGTAGTGAATAGGGTGAATCAGATTACTTACCATACTTTGTAATTGTAGTATGAAAAGATGAAAATGAATTGTTTTTCCTTTATAGTATTTGAATTTTCTTTAATAACATGAACTCTTGTCATTTGGACAATAAAAACACTTCTTTTCACTATAATATCTTCCTTTCTAACTATTAATAATAGAGTATAAGAATAAGACACCATTGTCTAGTTAGCATTTTAGCTGAAAAGTGACATTCTAGTATTTTGATGAATAATGTTCATCAAAATTAAAGTACTTAATAGATACAAGTAGTATTTCTCTACGGACTTAACAATACATAGTTGTTCTTTAGAAAATCAGTTGGATAACGCTTCCAATTATGGTTTTTTTTATAAAAAACTCGATTTAGGTATATCAGTTAAAGTACTAGGTTCTTAAGGTAATAAAAAACAATCTGTTCGACTCCCCATATAAATAAACAGATCAAATGCACTATTAGTCATTAGTTTATATAAAAAATAATTTTATTTCACATACATAGTAGTTCTCTTTATCAGCTTGAAGAGAGCTAGAGCAATCATTTGAGCAGAATAGCATGAATTCGTTTGATTTCATTTGGTCCTCGTCAACTGCTTACAACCTGTTATATATAAAAATCATAATTACGAATTGGATTTAAATTAATTTCATGAAAGAGTTTATTTGGAAGTTACTATGATCGCACATCAGTATAGTTTAGCAAGGGTGTACTTAAATTTAATAGACTGAATAAAATATTGTAAATATATACCTCCTTACGTGAAAGAATATTCTATAACATTGGTAGTAACAAAAGTCCAAAGAGGTAGAAGCAGGTTGTTACGTATTGAGTAAACGCTGATAATAAGTAATAATAAAATGAGTAAAGCATCGTAAATAAAAACAAGATTGCTAATCTAGAAGACAGTTGGAATGGAAATACGTGATGATGTGATTAATTGAAAGAAAGAGTTGAACAAAGTTTTATGATGCAAAAAAGGAATATTTGTCACCAAGGTAATAATAGAATAACAACCAACTCCTTATGAACACATAAATCAAAATCTTAACGCCTGATAACAACGGCTTCAGGAGACTGGAGTTTGGATACTTAGTAATAACATTAGGAGATTGGATTTATGATTTTTGAATACCACAGGTTGTAAGCAGCTGACGAGAAGCAAATAAAAAAATAATTTTTTTAGAAGAAATTGGCCCAATCAAATAACTGCCGATTTATTTCAAATTATCAAATGTTATTTGCATTTTTTAATATCAGTGTACTTAATTCCTGACTTGTTTTCATTTTTATCGTTTCCTTTCTTTTTCCATATTTGTATATGTCTATCTCTTTCTACCTCATTCAATAATAAAACTATCAATATCATATTGACAGAAATGACTCAGATGGAACTATTGATGCGATTGTGGTGGAAACTGCGGTGAAAAAGAAAACCGACGATAAACATTCCGTGAGTTTGGTTAAGTGTGAGGAAATAAGTGAGAGAGCATTTGATGAGTTTGCTTTTCTTCCGTGTTTCCTTTTTGTTCTATAATCTGTCCCATAATCACAACGTAGAACCTGACATGAATATGTTTCGGTCCACGATGCCACACTTCACATCGTATTAGAGTGAGTGTTGGTATGAAACGGTGAATGATAACCAGTAACATGAATTTCTGCGGGAAACCAAAATTTTAAAAATAGTTTAACAAGAACTATTTGAACTAAAGCGTGAATAATGTGGAATGGAATCAAGATCGATATTTAAAGTAAGAGAGAAAAGTAAAACGGGACCGTGTTACTGTGCCATGTTGCCTAATGTTTCCAAACCGAGATCATAATTATCGTTCTGAGTTTAACTAGAAGCCCATATCTTTCTACACGGCTCAGACCGGTGACCACCGACTGCATAAACCAATGACATGTTTTCAGTTGGCGTCTCCTAACGTTTTTCTAACTAATTTTTATGCTAACGTGCAAAATCAGAACCGACGGCCAATAGGGCTAGACAATATATCTCCCAACCATGTCATTGGATATTTTATGTACTTCTTTAACCTAAACCTCTACACCTAAGTTCGATATTATTAAATTGGTGGCATCATCATACTTAACCATTTCTTGTGAAATTCCCATAATCAGAATGACCACACCCGTCTCATGTTTCCCCTGATTACATTGGTCATGCTTCATTGCTTCCAAACAATAGAGAGGAACCTACTGCATGGTATACTCACACTTTGATGAATATTACCCCTGAGTTCACTAAAGTCTAATAGGCTTTATGTATTCGTGGATAAATCTTGTCAGTTGCAGATAATTGAGATGTTTTACACATCTGACCACATCTCTTTCAATCATCAAACGAATCGTTGACTTAGACGAGTTTCGAAGCAATATTTTCCATTCAGATGAAGAGAATCTCATCTGAAACATCTTTGTATTACAACATACTGTGTTCAGAAAGCTTACATTCGTCATCTGGTAAAAAGAAATACGTCATTTGATGAATACTTTAATTTGTCTAGACGCTTTTCGGTTGATGGGTTAATCTCTTGAAAGTTTGACTGATGAAACGCTTTATTTTAAACGATATGTAGGACAACATTTAATAAGTCGGAGATAGTGAACGAATATCACTTGACGTAGGTAGTTCCATTAACAGTTCACTGTAAACTCTAACTTGATTCGTAATGTACGTTATAAAGAACCTTCAATGGGTTTAAATATTTTTCCAGTGTGCTTTGCTATGACAAATACTGTCATAAAATCTATCGATAAACAAAGTTATGTATAGTCTTCTGTTCGTGGAATGAGACTACAGTTAGACGATACTATGTCTAAGTTCCAGAACCTCTAGTGAATGATGCATATCTATTCATTTTGTATACATGTGTGTTTATTGGGTTTACTGTTTTAGAGAAGTTTCTAAAAAGTCTTCAGATACACGAAGGATGAGCTGATCTGGTTTTGTATTTTACTTTCTTGATGTTAGGTGAATAATCATACTTAATTTATGCCTCGGAGAAACACGGTTACCTAATCTTTTTTTGTGTGATGTGAATATTAATAGTAAGATATCGAGAGACCAAGGATAGCATTTGTCCGCGCTGTTTTATAAGACATTAGAGATAACCTGGGAAACATGAAAGTAAACAGTTGACGAGCCCTTGTGTTAATGAAGGTGAGTAAGGGATTAGCACTTTTCCCTTACTTATATTGTTGTAGAACATTTATTTTTGAAGAAACTAACCAATCACCAAAAGTATTGTCGACTCATTAGAACGACTCTGAATAACGGTTGAAAACTCTGTAAGAGTAGCTCTCTCTCTATAATATTGGATCCCTACTTCTTGAAATCTTGCCACTGGAGCTGAAAATTCATAAGGAAGGTGGGTGAAAACCAATCTTTTCTAACCTATATATCTGTCTCCAATATAGTAGCTTCACTGGAGGTGCTAATTATCCGTGGGAAACAACCGTCTGCCATTGTCTTCCGGTGAAGTCGGTAGTACCATTTTGTTTTACAATATGAAAGTTTCTTCACTAGGTCAAACTAACCTGTTTGTCGTGACAGGACTTCAGTAAACATGTTTGCAGTTCATTTTGGCCACTAAGATATGCCAGTTCTACCCATATATCAATGTAACATCTATGACGAGGTCTGTAATGTACACATGTTTTTTTTCACGTCTTACATACCTGAAGTCGTTGCATACATTGTTCTTTCTAAAGCTTTCTTGGCTATCGTAATACACTTCAACTATTGATTTGGTGTAAATGTATTATGAATCTTACCTTCAAACTTTACACTTAAAGCTACTGTAGAGTTATATTTAAACATAATTTTCGAATTGTTTCATATATATTTTGTAAAGTAAATCGTTTCTTTCCTGATATATTTATTTGATAGTAATTTATATTTCGTCCTTATAGGATTATTACTTCCCAATGAATGTTTGGCGGGAAAATTGTCGAGTTCCAACTAGAGTTTATCGTCGTGTTTCAGATTTAGAAGAATTAGAAACGCGATTGCAAGAACGTTTCCCAAATTCAGCTGTTACTAAAACTGTGTCGCATATCATGAATGCTTTAAATTCAATAAGTATTAGTTCTACACGATCTCAAGATCATGTGCAATCTTTAACAGACAGCTTACTTTCAGATGATGATATTGTGTCCAAAGTAAGAAGTTAGATATTTATTTTCTTTGTCATCTACTTTTTATTGGGTTTTAAATAAGAGTTCATTTCGTCTTGACGTTAAATGTCAGTAAATCCTAGCTTTTGATGGTATTCAGAAACGTGATTGCTTTTAATGCGCGTTCTAGAAATGATAAACCACAGAAAGCAACTGTAATATCCTATCAATAAATATGATCAGTAAATCAGTTATTAGCTACGTAGCATCTGACGCATTTGTGTATCGCTTCAGGTAACCACATCACATTAGCACATCGTGTTAAATGCCAAATTGATAGGAGCAGTAACAGTTTAACATCCATTCCTACTTAAAACTACTTGATATTTTAGAAAGTTGTAGAAATCTCTATATTGTGAATGAGAGCAACATATGTAATATTGTTTTCAATTAAATCCTTAATAGGCTTTACTCTCATATACAGTAATATTTATTTATTTGACCGATCAAGACAATTTCACTCAGTGATATCAGTGAACATAACAGTGCAATAAAAATAATAGATAAAAAATACAAATTGATAGTGTGATTACAGGTGTACTAGTTGTGATAAGAATAATAGAGGCTTGAATCTATGTTTCATTATAGCAAATAGATTAGTGACTTTATAAATAGATTATATAATAAGAAGTGTTCAGATAATTGGACAGTGAAGTGTATTTTTGGAAAAAAAGGGGTGAGGAAAGATAAATAAACAAAGAGTATAGAATAATAATAACAATAACAATCCGTCTGTTAAGCCTAATCCGGCCAAGGAAGAGATAAAGATGTTACAAATTTTTTTATGAATACAGACACTTGAGCCAATAGGTCGAATTCCTATATTTCCTGCTTATACAAAAAGAAAAAAAAATACGTAAAAAAAAAGGTCATTAGAATTATAATGATACTTGAAACATCAATCACAAAGTCGCTTTAAATAATTAATAAACGTGATGAAATTCTAGTTTTGAGCAAACATGAATATTTCTTTTGTAAGTCATCTCTTTTCTACACTATACTATAGTATAAACATGAATTTACTGATTATGAGGTGATTTATGGTATCACACTACATTATGTCTTGGTAACAATTTACTGCACGGCCATTTTTGTATTTTTTTTCGAGTGAAATTCTTTTCATCCCTTTTTGAAACTTCACTATAACCGCCTTTAAAAATGACGTTGACAACGTACAATCCCAGTGTTTTCTTTATTTCTCACTTGCTCGTACCAATAGTGTTCTGTTCGACAAATAATTTGCTGATATCCTACCAAAAGAAGATCTACCTAGCTATTTTGTATTGGTATAGTCAATTGTTTACTTTGCATGTATTTCATACAAGCTCTTTTCTCTGTTAAAATACATTTTTTTATCAGTATAGGGTTGTGGAGATTGCTGAGTTTCAATTGAGATCATGAACCGATCAATGGTAAACTACCATTGGAAACCTGGGTTCGAGTCCCGAGGAGTCTCATACTAGGACAAAATGGCCATCCAGTGATTCCAGATTTTCAATGGTGGTCTAACATTGTTCGGTTTATGATCATAATTGAAAATACATTTTTTTGTACATAATCATTTTTATTGTACAATAGCAGTTCACAATGTTTTCTTCATTTGAGATTTGTATATTGCCGGGAAATATATCGGTAACAGCATTGCACAAGAATCCTCCAAAATGGTTAAAATTCACACAAATAGATACTAACAGCCGCAGCTGTTCTTATATGGGCATATCCAAATAGTGTTAATAGGAGAGACGGAAGACAGTTAGCAGTTCCAATGCAGCTAACCATTAATAAGTGAACTTGAACTCCTTATTACATTTTAGTTAATTCAATCTAACACTTATTTTTTGAAAAAAAACACACAATTACTTTAACTTGTTCTAACTAGTTGGTTTATCTGAATATCTGATAAACAATCAATTTGACCAACATAATGATACAAACATTAACTTTTAATTTAATTAATTATTGTATTGGTTGTCTGAGTCTTTCCATTGATGTTTAGGACTGCAGTTTATCACTCTCTTATTGGTGTATGTGCATCCTGTGCGGATTGCCTCGATATTGCCTTAAGTCACAAGCGTTATACGCAGAGATGGATAGTGATTATTAATGGAATTCAGGACTTGCGTTTTGTCCTTTTTGGTACTGGTCAGCTGGATGCACCTGCATGCCATATGAAACTGTTCAATTTCAGTCTCAAACATCAATGGGAGGACTGAAACAACAAAAATTAAAAACTGAATTAAAAATTCAATCCATTGCACAAGCTAGTGGCTATCTGAACTCAGTAGCTAAATGGATAACGCGATGGGGTTTGAAGCGAATGGTACTGAGTTCGAATATCAGAATGAACATCAACTATGGGTTGTAGGTGTATCCGGCTGACGAGTCTGGAATGGAACGAAACACGCATCTTAGACGCCACTGCTAGCGTGCATCCTTCTCTGCTTGTTTATTTTCATTTTATGCCTGCTTTGATATGCTTGACTCATAAAATATTAAACTATGTGATTTCGAATAAACCACTGATCAGAGTCAATAAACTTTTCTTACCTCAGATGTACTCACATACACACTTCTCTCTACATTTCACACCAAATGTCTCATACACACTACACCAAATTCTTACTTTCAATACTGTCATAATGACTGGATGATTGTCTAGGATGTTAAACGGGATATGCCCATTGAGACATAAAGAAAGATTGGTTCAGCGAAGAGTTCTCTTTTCAGAGAATTCATTTTCAAAGCCGTACAATCGCAAATATATATACATATTTTCAGGTTAAAAATAATTCTAATAAACACGACAATAGTGGTAATAAAATTCTTCCAAACATGGTAACATTGAAGTAGAATTGTATTGTCGGTTATTATGTCAAGCCCATATAACTTATTCTAGCTTACGGAGAGGCCAATCTATTCATTCTACTTGAGTCACATTTAGACCTTATTAATTACTGGCTTAATAACCTTGACTGTTCTTATCTAAGCGTATGTGTGTGACCTTATCCCATTCATCACTTGTCTGTAGCTTATTTTTTGTTGGGCTATAGTGATTGATTAAATCAAGTTGGCTCACACGCCTTCTCCACTGCACATCCTTTTGTTTCACATCTCTGTTCTTCGCTTCATTCGCTGCGATTCTCTGACTGTCTGTTCCGGTCAACGAGTGTACGAAATACAAGTATTCAAAACTTCATTCTCGTATTTGACCTATTTAGTTCAGTTATACACTAACGCGATTTAAGTCAATAATTTTGTACGAAGATTGACGATATGTATATTTCAATATCAATCAAACATATGATATAATGGGAGTCAGATCCCGGGCCACTAAAGAATGAACAAAGATATTAAAACATTATTTTTATCAGGGGAACTAACAATAGTTTTATTGTTAAGGGCTTGAAGATTCTTATGAAAACAAATAGGGAAATTCAAACTGAAAAAGGATGGCTCTGCATGATAAGATAAATTGTAGAAATTGATATGAAATGTAATCAGGAGGATCATACAAACAGAAACAAACCACGCACACACTTCCAGTTTTTCCAGATGTATTATGATTAATTCGGTGATGTTTAGAAGATGCAATATAACTGCCTTTCACAACCTTCTACGTAATTTTGAACTCAGAGTCCGCTTTGTAGAGTGGCCTGTGCTCATATGGTGTTTGATTGTTGAGCCATTCGATTATATTTCCTTGAAAAGGCTTGGACCAGATGACCGAGTGAAACGTTGGATTCATTTAAGTTCAATCACTGAGATTTTTACAAATATTATTTTCCTCCCTGCCTTACATTAACTCATAGCCCAACTACAATGAACCTATTCGTTCAAATTTAGACCGAAGTTCTTTTATCTACATTAATTTAAATATTATCCGTTATTTATTTTTATCTAACAAGCTATATTTTTGTTTGTATGTTTTTTTCTCATTTAGAGTGCAATCGTATATACTTTCTTTCACAGTGTATTGTTCGATGAAAGATTTACTGCTGAAGACATGCCATCACAAGGTTAGTCAGCTTTACTTTCATTGTGTATCTGTTTGATTACGTAAAAAGTAGCGGTGTACACAGCAAATTCGATTTTGTTCGTTTACTTATTTCTAAAGTCAGGCTAATTCACTGTTTACCATTCATCAATAACCGATAGTTTAGTCTTTTTTTGGTTAAGCGCTAAGATTGAAATCAGCATTGCGATCATTATTTAGGTGCCATAGAATTCTTCTGGCCTTCTAACCGATCGTAAATTTTAGAGTATTTGCTTTCTGAGTAAGATTGTGTTTGGTGGTAGGAAATAGAAAACCCTAGATCTAGATTTCGTACTATTTGGTTCCGGCTAGGATCATATTTAGTCTTGGGGAAATCGATGTTCCCTGACCTCGCATCACCCATATTCACAGTCAAGGATTTTACCAGTGATCTATTGACGTCATGACTGACCTGTAGGTCTGCGTTATATTTACATCTGATAGATTACTAAGTAGTGACCAGTGTCAAGTCTTTTTCAACGCTGATAGGATTCTGTGAATCAAGCTTTTGGGTGACATCGGATCAAATTCTTCAGGTAGCGGCAGTTCCATTGTTGACTAGTTCTATACAGGATGAAACCTAGATACAGAGTTTCCTGTTGGCTACTTCCAACCGCCACCTAACATCTCAACACAGTGCACACAATGTCAAGTCACTTAGACTAGTGGTTATATTGGAACTTGGTGGATAGTATTCGACCATCACTATGAAGTATTTGACATACATAAAATTGTTTACCACTTGGTGATCAGTTAGTTGTCAATTTATTTTCTGCTAACAGCTTCATTAGCTCTTATGCAATTGTCCCTTGCTAAAATCTGTTTTTCATAGGAAATTTAAGTAATGAAATGTATGGCATGAATGATAACCTTGCTTATATTGTTGTATTATGTTTATCTTGCATGGATTAATAAGCTTGTAAAATTAAAACAAGTCGAATTTCCTTTAATGGTCTCGTATTCAAACGACCGTTTTAAGATCATAGGTATCAAATTTTTATGGTTTGCTCATGCTTACTTTACTACTACATCAGATTTTCTCCTGACTAAAACAATGAGTAATTCTCGGTGACTAGAATCAAAATGAAGTATGATTAACTGTTAATTGTGTGATAACTGAATAGTTACATCCCTGATCTTGGGACCACTGTCTACTCATGTTCGATCTCGACTCACATACCTCACTTTCGACTGCTGGGACTATAGTCACCCGTGACGTCATGTACGATTGAGTTTCGATCATCATAATTTACATCAACTATGGATCCCCCCACTAACTTAGTACTTTATTGAGTAAAGCGTAACGCATACGATATACTTCTTGGAAGTACTCGTAGGAATTTTTTCATCAAGCCTAATACAGTATATTATATTATTACTTCGTGCTTAATTTTAGTACTAGTTATTAAATAAACTTAATTGACCACCTAAATTGAAAAAGTTGGGAATAAATGAGTCATCAACAAAATAACAATCTTCACAAATTCATGTACTTCAGAAATAATATCAGTGACAATATAACATCAGCTGATGGTTTATTGAATATAATAGAAGTTTGGACAACTGCCTCGTTCTATTTTAAGATCTTTTATCAATGGGCATTTTAAACAGGGTCTAGCTAAAAGCTTTTAGGTTTCCTGATGAGCACAGTCCTTCAATCAAAATACAATGAGCCTCTTCTTCTACTTAAATAAATTTAAGCTTTACTTCAATCATTCTCTAGTATGGCTTGTAGTGATTTACTTTAAGGTGTTCATATTTATGACAATGTTTCTATAAATTGTTTTCTTGAAGTGCAATGATTCCTTGTCTGATTCCCGTTTGTAATAAAAATTAAACTTCAATGATATTAAAACTGCAAATTACCGCCACTATATTTCTTTCATCGTTTACATACGGACGCTTGATCACGTTTATGCAAATATCATGGATATAACTAACATCCGTCGATCAAATTGAAAAAAAATTGACAGGCAAAAGTATGGATTTTCACGTATTCATTACACAGTGATGAACCAATTAAGCCTTACTAGTCAGTATGTCTCATAGTGAACTTGTTCATTATAGTGTGAATGATTTCAATCATAATATTTTATAAGTGTATCCCGTTTTTCTTTTCAACTGTTAATACAAGAAAAGAATGAATTATGAAGTAATCATTTTTCGTATAGCAATGTTTGTGTTATATTGAATATGTCACTCTTGTTATATTGAATTATGCATAAACTACCTACCTTAATATGACTAGTAATAATTCATTTAAGTATATGTTTTCTTCATTACAGCTGTTTAATTAACTTCTCCGTGTAAGCATGCTTAGTTAATTAAAACTAGATTATCTAACACTATATACATATATGATTTTTTTACTGTTTTCGGTATTTCACAAAGGTTTATTTTCTGTCTTCATCTTATCCTAATTTTATTACTTTTTAAAAAGTAAAACAAAAGGTAATTAGTATTAACAAATTGTCTTACTGTTCTATCTTAACAAAATTTGGAATTGTCTTTTCGGTTTGGACAAGATTTCTTACTCTCATTTGTTGCAACCTGGAATTACAAGTGCTTTAATGCTATGATGTTAGTGTACATGTTATATTTAATGACTAATATTTATAGTTATACACAAAGCTAGACCTTGTTAAATTATAGGTTAGAGCAAGTTGCTACAATATACAACAATACAGTGAACGTAAAATATATAAATTAAAGAAGTGTAAATCTCAATATCTACTATAAGTAGAGAGCTGAGTGTAGAAATTATAGTTCGAAATGAATGAAAACTAAATTGCTGATTGAAAGTTGTGAGGTGTAATGGAAAGTTAGATTTGGAAGAATATACCTACAATTCAGTTATTGATGTCAATTTCGAGCGTAATCAGTTAGTACTTGCGATCACAAAATTCTCTTATCTCGAAGACCTTGACCATGAAATATTGCAACTTTCCGCTTTGATCAGTCAAACGTATAGTAGATTATGTGGCAAGTGCCATTTTGTAGTCTGAACATCGTTGTCTCCTTGCAAACGACATTTCCATAGGCTTTGATTTTGCATGCGTGATACTATAATGCATAATTATACTATTAAAACCAAACCGCTTTTCCTAACTAAAGTTGGCTTTTTCATTATTTCCCGTATTTTAACATTTTTAAAATGATCATTCGTCAGGACTTATCCTCTAGAAATAAAAATTGTTTGTTTATATATGGCGAATTAAGTACATGTAGTCTCATATCAATTACAGTTTTCTTTCATTTTGTTTTATTTGAATCTTCCCATTGATGTTTAGGACTGCAGTTTATCACTCTCTTATTGGCATATGTGCATCCTGTGCGGATTGCCTCGATATTGCCTTAAGTCACAAGCGTTATAAGCAGAGATGAATAGTGACTATCAATGGAATTCAGGACTTGCGTTTCGTCCTATTTGATACTGGTCAGCTAGATGTACCCGCATCCCAGAGTGGGCATTTTAAATATGATCTAACTAATGGCTTAAAACTACATTTTCGCCTTAATTATTTGATCAGTATAATTTGCCAAGTATTGTTTTCAAATTGAGATTTAGATGGTGGTTGGAGGTAGTCAACAGAAAACCCTGGACCCGGGTTTCGTGCTACTTGGCACTCGTCAGCAAGGTGTACCTGTAATCTTGAGGGAACTGGTGCTCCCCGACGGACTCGATCTCGTGTCACCCAGCTTCACAGTCAGACACGTTACCACTGAGCTATCCGAGCCGTGACTAACCTCCTGTAGGACTGAGATGTAATCACATGATCGATAGCATTCGATCTGCACTAATACGGACTAGACAAGCATGACATTGATCACCACCCAGTGATCAATCAATTGTGATTGTTTTCAAATTCTGATAGATTTTAGTTTACAATACAAATTTTCTACATACATATGATATTTAAAAGTAATCAGTTTATTTTTAAGATTAAATAAATTTCACAACTCTTGAATAAGCTGATAAGTGACAGTACACAATTAGTAAAATAAATTTCTTATCACGTTATTGTGGATTTTTAAAATGTTATATGTGGTTTAGTTAAATTACAGCTCCAACACATTTTCAGTTGATGAAAAGAAACAGACAACCAAATTCTTTATTAAACAAATTTGTGAATAAAGCATTATTGCTGATAATGCTTGTGAATTAAGGTAATATCTAGGCAATACTTACAGTATACACATGTGCCAATAAGAAACTGATCAATTGCAGTCCTAATCATCAATGGGAAGATTTAAGCAAACATTACCAAGTGAATTTAAACTTCACCCCATTGCACAACCAAATAGTTATCAGGACTCAGTAGCTAAGTAGACAACGCGATGGCATTTGAAGCGAACAGTACTGCGTTCGAGTCTCAGAGTGAGCATCCACTCTGAGATGCGGGTACATCTAGCTGACGTGTCCGAAATAAGACGAAACGCGCGTCCCGGATCCCACTGCTTATAAAGCATTGTTTGTTAGTTTCAAATATTAGCATTATATGGAAATAATAACTTCGTCTTCACACATTCTCCGTTTTTTATTCTATAGCTCATTATTAGTGGTTTAATTTAATGCTTTTTATTGTGTTAGACGTTTTTGAAAGTTTAGTTCATCTAACCTAATTGGTACTAATCAAGTTTGCCTTTTAATCGCTAAAAAAGTTTTAATTCATTTCACAGTTTGTAAGTAAATATTCTTGTATCATAAAGCAAAGCTGATCACTGGTTGACATCAGTTGGGAAACTAGTTGAAAACCAGGAAAAACTCGAAAATTATTTCATTTGATTTTAAATAATACCTATGAGATTAATGACAAGAAATCTACCTTGGTATAAAATGCGAATAATCTTCACCGAAGATAATGGATTTTAATCACATCTTATCGCGAATCGTTGAGAGTTAAACAATATATATCATTAAATTCTAGATTCAGTAGCTAAATGATATCATGCTTTACCTGAGGACACTACATTCAACTATTTGTGGGAATGTATACACATATCAGTCTAACAGTTTCAGTCATTTTGACAGATATTTTTGGGATTTCTCAGTTTTTAATAATTAGTGTCACGTCTTGATGAGAATTATCTTCAAAATGTGATTTGTCTAACTGCATAATGATTTTTTTGTATAGAGCAAATAACAGCATATTGAAAGAACACAAGTTTTAACACTAATAATCTTAATTTTTAAAAAATCGCGAACTAATAACATTCCGCATAATTGTTATATGTATCTCTTCACTCCTTGTGATCTGTTCTTCTATGAAAGCTGTAGCCTTCAACTTTTACAGTAAATTTAATAGGATTAAAATCCAGTAATTCATATCTTCATCTTAACTTGTTGTTGAATCCTTCTGATCAGACTTGTTTACCTCACCTGTTATCGAAAATCCGAAATAGTTCATTCTTTAAATATCACTTTCAATTATGTTTATGTGTGTGTTTAATTGTTCTCAATTAACCAACTAAATTCAACTCACCTTATGTTTACTTACACTGGATTTACGCCTACTTCAATCTCTCCATTTCTAGTCTTTGTTTGTTTGTTTTTGAAATTCTAGGGCTGACAACATCAACTTCATCATCATTAATCAATTGTTGGTCATCTTCATCACCATTACAAGATTATTTGCCTGAAAAATCTAAAGAATACACAACTCCTTTACTCATCCCATCATTATCTTCATCATCATTATCATCGTTTCATTTGTTTCATAATAATTCTGATGATTTATTAACATCAACATATAAAGTAGACCATTTGCCAGCTGTACATATTCAGTTATATTTAAGTGAGAATTCCAGACGTTTAGATGTTTTAATCAAGCATGCCAGATGTTTAGTAAGCCTTTCTTGTACAGTTTTTATGGTACTTACTTTCTTTAATCACTTTCTAGCTTGTTACTTTTATCGTTGTTCTGATTTAACTTGTTATTTCGGCTTGTTAAACTTAATTATATGTGCGTGGGATGGGCATATGATTGTTTTTTTTGATGAATTCATTTCCTTCCATACATTAATGATGTTATGTATAGAAATGGATGATTGTTTTTTTTCACCTATCCACTCTTCTGGTTATTCTTGTTGTCTGAAACAGTTTTTCCTCTTCCTAGTTTGCATGTGTACTAAAGGTGTTTACTTGAGTGAGCTTATGTCATGCTCTCCGATCAACGCTAAATGCTAATTGACCTCTGTCTATGAGATAGAAACAGTCGCTAGTTTAAATAACTTAACATTGTGAAGCATATTTTTTTTGTTTAATGATACACAATCTGAGGCATGGACTGAATGATTAGGATATACTCAATGCTATAGCTTACTAACAAGCATCGCACCTAGGTCTGTAGCCGTCTGTCTGTTTCTTTTAAGGTGTATTTTGTGGAGAAAATAAGTGATAAATAGTTGATGATGAGACTACTCATTCGTATCAGTTTGCAGTGATAATTGTTTCGGTAAATGTTACTTTTGGTCTGTGCATCCTGTCTTAGTCCGTTTTTCTTCTACATACCGTGCTTAAAAAGGGTTTCAAGGCTGTTTTTTCAGAAACGTGTGGCAAATCAATATTCTTGGACAACATCAAATCTGTGATCTTTAATGATTTATTGATCAATGTAGAAATTTATCCCTCCTTAAATACGTAACCTATACTTCGGTATATGTCCATGAGAATTTCATTTTTTTTATTCTAGCTGGTTGAATGATTCTAATTATGATGAGTACTAGACTTTTGGAAATTTTGGAAACTCTTAACTTACAAGGCTCTAAGTCTGCTCATCTTTTTATAGTTGCGTAATCTGTTATTAACTTTCTGCACGAAACAATATAGACCTTAGTATAATAGATTGTTTCATTGTCATAGGCATGCGCACAAAAAGATTATTTTCTCTGTCACAAGAGAGATTCGAAGCTAATATGCTATATGCTTTAAGTAAATATATTTCCAGCTAAAAAATATGGTAATTGTTATGTAATCATAGCTTGTCATAACTGTTCAATCATCCTTTTTCTATTCTTTGTTTCCCATAATATGTATAAGATACTGAAATTTCGAAAAAATCAATAAACAGTTATTTTACCATAATGATATTCTTGTATTCTATTGGTAAGTCTTTAGCTTAGTGACTGAATGCATAACTAATCGGTATCAAAGATGTAAGGTAATCTTTATTATCGATCAGTTAATAGAACTATCTTCAACTGTGCTAACTCACTATATTACATTTGACTGAATATACCATTTTAACCTCACCTAGCCAGCACGATACATTCATCCATACGATAAAAATGAAATGGTTTACACAGTGGTTAGTCGTTTATTACTCATTACATTATACTCATTCACTTTGATAAATGATGACATCTGAAATCGGATTAACTAGTAGTGGCAATACATTTTTCATTCAATCACATGATGAAAAAATTTTTTATTGACAAGACTATGCATTGTGTTGCTTATTTCTATAATTAGGCAAAATTGAGATATTTCAACTCTTTTATATTCACCTATAAAGTAATATGACTGAAATAATTGACAGTTGGATTTACCAAGTTTTTATTCTTTTACTGAGAAAAAATCTGGATTAAATTATACAAAGATTGCTCTGTTCGGAAACATTAGGCAATATCATATGACATTAATGTTAGAATAGCTTACGTATCAACTCGATTCATCTGTAATATACTAGGTGAATTAAGATACGTTTATCAGATTAATTATGTTCTGTTGTTACTGTTTGTTTTTACTGAAACCGAATTCAGATTCAGATTTTGTTGAAACGTCTCTAATTGATCATATTGTTGTGCATTGTGCAATAAGTTATTATGTAATCGAATATAAAAAATTATATATCTCTATGCATACATTCTGTTTAAGGTCAACTCCAATTTTGATCTTCAAATCTTTTTTTATATATTTTAGTACATCCCCGGATCGAATGAGCCACCAGATGTGTATATAAAAGTTTATTTACTTTCTGGCCGACGTCGTAAAACAACTAAACATAAAACAAACATTGTTCGACGCTCTAGCTTTCCATCATTCAATATCACAGTAAATCGTGATCATGTCTCTTATTTTGCAAGAGTTTTTTTTTTTCGTTTTGTAGTATTTTCATGATCTTTAGAATGCATAGATTTTCTGAACACTACTTTTGTTTGATACATTTTTTAATAATATTTACTGAACCGGTAGTTTCATCTTATCTCTGTATTTGTATAAGCAATGTTCTTTTAAACCAAATAGGCTCTTGTCGATATACCCTATTCGTCTCCATTGTTCAGTAGATTTTGGGAAATCTCTATGTCAGATGATGTCTTTCCTCGTGATTAGACCTGGTACATGTTAGAGATAAATGGCCGTCTCAGCTTGGCTGAAATATATAGTCACCATTGTCTGTTTGTTGAGCTGAAACACTATAAGACTCACTTAAGTGTCTTTTAGCTTAGTCGAGATTGCCTACTGAAGCAAATAAACCACCTGCTATGATTGCTACGTCTCGGCGCTTAGCTTTTTGAAGAAGGCCTGATTGCTCTTTGTAAAACTCATCTGTTTTTGTTTATCCAGACTGCAGTCAATGGAAATATAGGCAATGCAATACGAGAGAGCCTGCTCTGACTATAAATCTAATCATTTGTTTGTATCAGCGTGAACACAAGAAGTAGAAATCAAGTCCTCAGATATACAGAGGATAAACCGGTCTCAATATTGGCTAGGTGAGGTCGAGGTAATAACCACATTCAGATAATATAAGATTCAGAGAATTAGAATATTGATCTGACTGGCTCGAATTTTGGAAGCTTCAACATATTTAGATTTTAGTTTCAAATTATCAGGGATAGGATTTTCTAAACTGAACCCCTTAGGATTGTGGTGCTTGGAAATAGAGGTAGAGTCATAAGAAAAGTTAGCGAAGAAAAGTTTCTTTTCTATGAAAGCATTTCCTCAAGCTATATCTTCGTATTTATAGTTGTATGGTAATTATGTGTTTATAGAAGGATAAAGAAGATTGCATCATAAATTGATTCGATACTCTTATTATCAAATGAGGTTACGCAATAATCAAGGTGTAAGCGAAGATTATAAGGATGGAATTAATTTACGGGTCAAAAATTATGAAAGATAATTGTCCACTTGACAGTAATGAGGAAAAACGTACAAGTTATAATAGTAAACATTGAGTAATAATCATGAAAAATAGTTTAGGGGTAATAATAACTCATTACGGTTCGAAATTACAAAACACTAAAGAAGTCAATAATAATAAACCAGAACATACCACAAAAAGGAATTAGGGCCAAAGAAGGATGAGAAGTTGGACGTTTCCGCACGCAAAGTTTGGGCTTGAGTTGGTTATGTTCGTTAAATTCTCTATATTTTTATTCAATGACAATGGGTTATTTTAATTATTTGATTGAAAAAGTAAGGATGGAATTTAATATGTGTAGTGTGATTTCGTGTGTTGTTTGGGTTATATGAGCTATTGTTCACAACGTGGAAGGATGCTCCTTCTTGAGGTATACATAAAGGAATCTAGATCAATAATAGTTTTAGCTACCTAAGAGCATCAAAGACAGCCACACACCTTCCTTTTCAGACTTCGTCACCAGCGACAGAAATTCATGAGCTAAGGTGGGATATGCTAATTTTAGTACTAATCTTTCCTAACCACATTTTTCTGCCATGGAAAGATACTATCGCTGTAGATGCTGATTTTTTGAGGTAAACACCTTACTGCCACCCCATCCCAATAAATTCTATCTCACCCTTGGGTAATGCGTTTCGTGTTTTTAGTTGAACCGTCCTCCAGCCGATCTGTCTAGCATGATAGAACATAAAAGACCAAATGTTCAACTGCTATAGCCATATTGACCCATCATGACTGGAAAACTGGACTACTATCAATGTAGCATATACATTTGTGATGTTTGACTAACACATGCTTAGAATTCGGAATATAATCAGAGCAAATAATATTTATTAGTTTTACTGGGCATATATATTAAACGGAATGTTAATATTAATGCTGAAAGTTTTAAACAGATCATTAATTGACAAATGGCTCTCAGGATGTGATAGCTTGAATATCATGGTTTTGATAATTGATAGTGTTAGATGGGATACTATTGAATATGGCATGTATTAGTAACTTGTCCCTAGTGATAACATTACAAATGATTGAACCTTCGTGTTCACAAGATTATTTTCAATAGTCGAAATTACTTAAAAATTGGTAAAAACTAGATTTGATAGAACTTGACTAATGTATATCTGTTTAAAGAATTATAAATACGATTTTATTCTGATGTTTTGGCGTTTACTAAAGTAAACCAAAATAAGTTTGAAATGTATTCGTTAAGTCTCAAACTTTTTATTATTATAAACTTGTGGGATCTTTTTTCTAAATTATAGAAGTTGTTTTCCTGTTGCCTAATTGTAATGTCGAGTTTCTTCTTTTTTTTACATTTTTCACCGATTAATATTTGGCGACTTCGTATTATTAATAGTTTTCCTATGACCTCATTCCAAATGATATACAGTGTGGTTTTATTGAAGTTTCTGCTTGGCATTCTGTTCATATTGGTGAAAATATACCATTTGGACAAATCTACATTCAACTGAAATCAATTCGTCCAGGACATGTATACTCAAACTGGTATATACTATGCTCAGATCCAGCGTGTTTAAGTTAATTCCTTTACGGATAAAATACTAAGCCTTACATTCTGCCCACCGCTTTCAATTTATTTATTCTTAATACACATAAACTAGTTCCGTCGTTGGAACAAAGTATACATCCTAAACTTCTTATTTCTACTCCATTACCTACGAATTTAATTTGTGACTCGTTTATTCCAACTACACATGTATTATTTATGCATTAAGATCATTCCAGCTATTTAATTGTCTTCTCACTATTATATTTTTATTGCATCAATGAAATTTCCTACACTAACCAATCCCATATTATAGATCCACTGAACAATCAGCCATCTCATCTATTGACACACGGAACGAAGCAGCGTGGTTTCTTACGAAGCTGCTTAACATATCGAAAACTTTAAAATCCCTCTTTTTTCAAATGAGTAGAATACATACATCTATACATATATTTAGTTAGTCACCTGTTTTTAGATAGAAAATAAAGTAAGCTTCCGTAATCATTCTCTCTTACTCATATGCTCACATTTCAGCATGTTATAGATTCTATTGTATTCTACTCATTTCTTTCCATTACCAAGAAGCAGTCAGAAATAATGAAAAAAACTAATCTGACTTGTAAGCAACGCTTGCATTTCCTTTGTCCTATTTCGATAAACCTCTATTGTGTAATAATTTTATTTTCATGTATTGTTTTACAATGGTCAAAATCGACGTGTCGGAATACTTCTTTTGTATGATATGAGTCTAATAAATAAAATAAAATTTGTATTTGTGCTTGTAATCACTGGAATATACATATACACTAATGTACTGTTGATTTCCTTTTATATTGATCTTTTTTATTGTTATGATTGTTTTCTCTTATGATTTGTGTATACTTGGTTGTGTAAAATAATGTCTTTCCTGTATGTATATAGAATAATAACTGTTTATTATAGTCTACATAATATTTTTTAATATTTTTGAAATGATTTTTAATGTGATTAATATCTATATACTCATTCGTTTCTTCCTTTTTTGTTAAAGATTTTTATTATGAAAATGAATAAAGTGATTGTAGTTATAAACTATTGTTCCATTGTTTTATGATTACAATATGGTATATGTTAACAAGTGTAATACTTCAGTTTATAAAATCGTTAACTACTGGCCTTATCCATTTTGATGTGCGGAGTTCCTACTTTGGGCGATCATAGTACTCACTATTAACGGTTAGAGACTTAAAGTAACATTGCACAAAGTTATTTGAAGTAGCCCGATTGTATTTATTCCCTATGTTAGCATAAATCTTCAGTTAAGTGTTATTCTTAACTTGTCTTTTGATCTCATTTGTTTATTTCGAACTGTTTTACTTTGATAGTTTACTTCATGAATTGATCTTAGTTACGCTACCACTGAAAAGCAGGAAACATTGGACAGCTGTTTCATACTAATATAGAGCTCAGTCATATCCATTTGATGACCTCTAAGGTAACCAAACCAAAGATCTTCGGAGCTCACAACGAACGCTTAACGTTAAGACATGGGTCGACATCCAATAGTTTACATGGCTTCAATCGATTCATAATTTCACTCACCTATCTTCCATTATCTACTTTACACCTAATACGATTTAACGCCAATGATAACGATTTCTCATTAAAACTTAAACTTTTCCCCAAAGTTTTTCACTAATGAGTATGTTATTTTTTGTTGATGTTTCCAACGTTAAATTTAATCCCTCCCATTTACTTCCATTCTTTGTTAATTTTTCTTGTGCTGTCTTGTAATGTATTACATGTGTCAATATAAATTCACGCCAGGCCCCACGTTGGTTACAGCTAAATGAGCTTTGAAAATAATCGTCGTTTCCATCTTAAAAGAATCATGGTCACGTAGAAAACATATACGCATATATGGATAGACTAATGAAAGTATATCATTAGTATCCCATTGTAGAGTAACATTAATACTATGTTTTTGTGGTCACAATCAATGAAAGCCGATGAATATACGATTCAGCATTAACAGTAAGAGTATTATAATGAAGGGAAATGTCATCCATTGACTGCAACACGCATATGATATTTTATTCTTTTATTATATTCTCCCAAATGAAGTTCATTATTTTGAAACATTTTCCATCTAATTTTGTAGACATAAGTGAAGATAAATAACAGATAATTTGTATAAGCAGCTTTTGACATATCAAGTGTGTGATAACATTGTAATTATCCATCCTTGCAAATATTACCACCAGTCATTGTTTCATCTAATTCACATGGGATGACTACAAATTAATATGCTTCCTAGGACAAAGTTACTTGCAAAGTATTGTTGTTCAAAAATCTTGGATAAACAAACATGAAGTTATCCTATTTTGTAGTGTCATACATTAGATCAACTAATATAACGAAATTTCACGAAATCTACTTAGTTTCCAGGTAACTCTACTTGTTAAATATCTTACAGAGAAGCGAAATTATTTCTTAATGTAGTTCTAATATCCATGACATCCTCTAGTATTCTGTAAACAAAGAACTACTTCTGATAAGCGGAAGAAACGATACTAATTGGAATTTTGAGTTTCCCTTGTCAACCTTTATGGTATACTTTCTTTTGGTTCGAATTATTTGCGTGTACTTTAAATTTAAGCGTACCATTCATACATAAAAAATTATTTTCATAATATAGACCGAATGGATATAATAATAATACTTTCACACTGTTGATTCTAATATTTCAAGGAGTAATATGGTTAACTTAGCTTACTACTTTACTGTAGTGGTATGATTTGTTCGTTTTGGTTAGCGTTCTTTTAGCAAGGTTGTTTTCTAGGGGTTGGGGTTGCTGACCCCATACCCAACTCCCCACCTTTACCCAGGCTTGGGACTGGCAATGACCCTAGAAGAGCTACGGCATGAAAATTACTTACTGTATTTCAGTAATCGTACTATGAACAAAATTATAAAACACTTAGAGAAGAATATTCGTTTCCCCAACCATAAATGACTTTAGTTAAACATCTTGTGCATAAAGAACACCTTCAATACTTAATTATATGTTCTCATGGTCAGTTTATAGACTGGGAATTCAGTTCTTTTCTGAAATTTATTAGGCTTGAATTTATGGAGTCGTTTCTGTTGTGAATTTATGTCCGGCTCTTATCACGTGATTTATCCACCAATCAAAATACGACTTATACAATCTTAGCACTGCGTCAAACCAATGGCGTTCGACCGGTATGAGCAGTCTAGCGTGCTTATTGGTCCTATTTCCGCCTAACCCGTCCACTTGAGTCCAGAACACCAATACCAGCTTCCAATATGTGGATCGAATCCTTTATTTCAGACATACTGGGTTTATATATCAATCAAAGAGACCGCAATGCACTATAAAATAGGAAATAACATTTGTACACAATAAAGCCAAAAAGTGCCTGTGAACGTGGGAGGCAGTAGTTAATAAACTGAACATAGCTTAAGAACCGTAACTCGTGCAATAATGAATTGTAGGTCAAAATAAAGCTTATAATAAGAGGAATATAAATATATATAACCTAATTATTGAATAGTTACACCAGAATGTATAGATAATATTAGTCAATTAATATCTCAGAAGTTACTTGTGATTTAATCTTCGCTCGGATATAACAGTTGATAAGCAGAGATAAAGCGACATATTAAACAATAAGAAAATAAACTTGATGTATTGTCTATAGGAATCCGTTTGGTTTGACAGCAGTGACTCCATGTTAATTTACGTTAAATATGAAATATATGCTAGTGAACATTTAATGACTATTTTACACTTAGTTGATTACAACAAACTACTTGCCACAAGTGTGGTTGTTGGCGATTTAAAGCAAATTCCATTAGTTCACACCGATAAGAATTCTGAGATTCAAGTTATGTAGTCCAGAGAAATATTGTTTTGAATTAATTCATAGTGATATTATAGTAAAACCTTACTCATAATTATTGTTCGATTCAAGTTGTCTTGGTCAAGACATTCTATTATTAGATTGTCAGTTGTGCTTCTTTGAAAAATAATAGAAATGAATGAATACCCCTTGCTTTTTTAGTGAAAACAAACTTTTTCAACAAGCAAACTGAGGTAACGATCAACTATTTTGTAATAAACTCATTAATGGATATCCATAATACAAATTATTCATGAGATCCAACTAGGTAGATTAAATACCACATATCTAAGGCCACACATGTATACATTAGATATCAATTACTATAGCGACTACTCATATTGATGGCGTCTTATGGATTTTTTAAAAGAAAGTTAATTAACTTCAGTTAATTGGAAAAAATATCATTTTTTAAATGAGATAAATGTTAGTCATTTAGTAAATAGAATTAATTCTTCACTTCTATCTATGCAATTGACATCATATTCCCTCTGAATGATGAATATAACTTACTTACTTACTTACTTACTTACTTACTTACTTACTTACTTACTTACGTCTGTTACTCCTAATGCAGCATACGCCGCCAACCAGCATTCTCCAACCCACTCTGTCCTGGGCCTTCTTTTCTAGTTCCATCCAATTCTTGTTCATTTTTCTCATGTCTATCTCCGGCGTAATGTGTTCTTTGGTCTTCCTCTTTTCCTTTGGCCTTCAGGATTCCATGTGAGAGCTTGTCTTGTGACACAGTTGGGTGTTTTCCTCAATGTGTGTCCTATCCACTTCCAACGCTTCTTCCTAATTCCTTCCTCCTCTGGGAGCTGATCTGTTCTCTCCCACAGTAGGTTGTTGCTAATAGTGTCCGGCCAACGGATCCGAGGTATTTTGCGTAGACAGCTGTCAATAAACACCTGTATCTTCTGGATGATGGCTTCCGTAGTTCTCCAGGTTTCCGCCCCATACAGTAGAATTGTCTTGACATTTGTATTGAAAATCCTGACCTTGGTGTTGGTTGACAGTTGCTTTGAGTTCCAGATGTTCTTCAGTTGCAAATATGCTGCTCTTGCTTTGCCGATCCGCACCTTCACATCTGCATCAGATCCAATGTGTTCATCAAGGATGCTGCAC